TCCATGCGTGTGCTGCGTGTTGAATTCCCAGCTCCCCTCAGCAGAGGGGCACAGGGAAGGCTGCAGGCTGTCCCTGCTGGTTGGACTCGGGGTCCTGGTGCAGGCTCTGAGCCGTGTCCAGCAGGGTGTGTTACACACAGCCCTGGCACACGTTCTCCCAGGGACAGCCCCAGCAACGGCGGGTCTGCTCCTCCTGGGCTCTGCAGATCCTCCAGCAGCGCTGCTCCAGGTGGGAGCTCCCTGAGGAGAGCTCAGGGGGGGAGCTGGGATATATTGAACAGTTGTTCATCACTTGCTAATGTGTAAATGCTTTTCCAAAGGCACTGGAGAGGTTTTTAGTGGGTTTTAGTCTGCTCAGTAACGAGCTTTCCTTACTTGCCTGAGTGGATTCCATGGAAAAGTATCTTGGGACCATCTGTCCTAAGGCATGCAAGGTGTGGCCAAGGTGGGGAAGGTGGGCTCAGTTCAGGGGGTATTGGCACAGAGATTGTGGAAAAGCTGCAAAGCACTTTGATTTCATTCATGTGCTTGGAGCTGAACCATCCCTGGTGGTGTCCCAGGCCAGGCTGGGCACTGGGGCTTGGGGCACCCTGGGACAGGGGCAGGTGTCCCTGCCATGGTGGGGCTGGCACTGGGTGGGCTTTAAGGTCCTTCCCACCCAAACCATTCCATGGTTCCATGATTTATGCAAAATGGGCTTTCACTCGTGATTGATATTTTTAGTTTGTTTGTATTACTTGGGCCGTGTCTTTCCAATGACAGCCACAGCTCTTTGTGTATATTTGGGATATTTGGGACCAGCTGCTCATGGAAGGAGCTGCCTCTTGAACTCCTTTGGGTTTTGCTTTCACTGAACTTTGTGTGGGTTCTTTGGGTGTTTGGCCAGGGCTCCCTCCTGAGGAGGACACGGCTCCATTTCTGCTGCTGTGTCTGTCCTGACAGCTCGGCAGGGCCTGGCTGCCGTGGGAATGAGCTGGAATTGGGGAATTGGGGAATTGGGATCACCAGGAGCCGTGTCAGCTGAGGAGGGGCACCAGGCGTGCCCCTGGCCAGCAGGTGTGTCCTGGTGACACAGCAGTGACACGGGGTGGTGGCAGGAGTGCTGGCTGTGGTGACACAGCAGTGACACGGGGTGGTGGCAGGAGTGCTGGCTGTGGTGACACAGCAGTGACACGGGGTGGTGGCAGGAGTGCTGGCTGTGGTGACACAGCAGTGACACGGGGTGGTGGCAGGAGTGCTGGCTGTGGTGACACAGCAGTGACACGGGGTGGTGGCAGGAGTGCTGGCTGTGGTGACACAGCAGTGACACGGGGTGGCAGGAGTGCTGGTGTGCATCCCTGGGGAGGGGCTCTGCAGGCTCTGTGCATCCCTGGGGAGGGGCTCTGCAGGCTCTGTGCATCCCTGGGGAAGGGGCTCTGCAGGCTGTGTGCATCCCTGGGGAGGGGCTCTGCAGGCTCTGTGCATCCCTGGGGAGGGGCTCTGCAGGCTCTGTGCATCCCTGGGGAAGGGGCTCTGCAGGCTCTGTACATCCCTGCTGCCTGGGGAAGGGGCATTCCAGGCTGTGTGCATCCCTGGGGAAGGGGCATTCCAGGCTCTGTGCATCCCTGGGGAAGGGGCATTCCAGGCTCTGTGCATCCCTGGGGAAGGGGCATTCCAGGCTCTGTGCATCCCTTCTCCCAGCTTCCCTGGAGCAGCAGACCGAGCCGGAGGAGCCCCTGGCAGGGAGGCTCAGGTGGGATCTCAGGAGCAGGCTCTTCCCCAGAGGGTGCTGGCCCTGAGCAGGGCATGGTCCCAGTCCCGAGGCTGCCAGAGCTCCAGGAGTGTCTGGACAGCGCTCCCAGGAATGGGATGTGGGGGTGTGCAGGTGATCCCTGTGGATCCCCTCCTGCTCAGGATATTCCATGACTCCATGAGTCCAAGGACAGCTCTCTGCTTCCATGCGTGTGCTGGGTGTTGTATTCCCAGCTCCCTTCAGCAGAGGGGCACAGGGAAGGCTGCAGGCTGTCCCTGCTGGTTGGACTCGGGGTCCTGGTGCAGGCTCTGACCCCGTGTCCAGCAGGGTGTGTTACACACAGCCCTGGCACACGTTCTCACAGGGACAGCCCCAGCAACGGCGGGTCTGCTCCTCCTGGGCTCTGCAGATCCTCCAGCAGCGCTGCTCCAGGTGGGAGCTCCCTGAGGAGAGCTCAGGGGGGGAGCTGGGATATATTGAACAGTTGTTCATGACTTGCTAATGTGTAAATGCTTTTCCAAAGGCACTGGAGAGGTTTTTAGTGGGTTTTAGTCTGCTCAGTAACGAGCTTTCCTTACTTGCCTGAGTGGATTCCATGGAAAAGTATCTTGGGACCATCTGTCCTAAGGCATGCAAGGTGTGGCCAAGGTGGGGAAGGTGGGCTCAGTTCAGGGGGTATTGGCACAGAGATTGTGGAAAAGCTGCAAAGCACTTTGATTTCATTCATGTGCTTGGAGCTGAACCATCCCTGGTGGTGTCCCAGGCCAGGCTGGGCACTGGGGCTTGGGGCACCCTGGGACAGGGGCAGGTGTCCCTGCCATGGTGGGGCTGGCACTGGGTGGGCTTTAAGGTCCTTCCCACCCAAACCATTCCATGGTTCCATGATTTATGCAAAATGGGCTTTCACTCGTGATTGATATTTTTAGTTTGTTTGTATTACTTGGGCCGTGTCTTTCCAATGACAGCCACAGCTCTTTGTGTATATTTGGGATATTTGGGACCAGCTGCTCATGGAAGGAGCTGCCTCTTGAACTCCTTTGGGTTTTGCTTTCACTGAACTTTGTGTGGGTTCTTTGGGTGTTTGGCCAGGGCTCCCTCCTGAGGAGGACACGGCTCCATTTCTGCTGCTGTGTCTGTCCTGACAGCTCGGCAGGGCCTGGCTGCCGTGGGAATGAGCTGGAATTGGGGAATTGGGATCATCAGGAGCCGTGTCAGCTGAGGAGGGGCACCAGGCGTGCCCCTGGCCAGCAGGTGTGTCCTGGTGACACAGCAGTGACACGGGGTGGTGGCAGGAGTGCTGGCTGTGGTGACACAGCAGTGACACGGGGTGGCAGGAGTGCTGGCTGTGGTGACATGCAGTGACAGGGAGTGCTGGCTGTGGTGACATGGCAGTTACACAGGGTGGCAGGCAGTGACACGGGGTGGCAGGAGAGCTGGCTGTGGTGATATGCAGTGACAGGGAGTGCTGGCTGTGGTGACAGAGCAGTGACACGGGGTGGTGGCAGGAGTGCTGGCTGTGGGGACAGAGCAGTGACAAGGGATGGTGGCAGGAGAGCTGGCTGTGGTGATATGCAGTGACAGGGAGTGCTGGCTGTGGTGACAGAGCAGTGACACGGGGTGGTGGCAGGAGTGCTGGCTGTGGGGACACAGCAGTGACACGGGGTGGCAGGAGTGCTGGCTGTGCCCGGGCTGTCCCTGCAGGCTCTCCAGAGCCGTTCCCATGAGGATGTGCCCGAGCCCGGGGCTTGCTGGGGTCAGCCAGGATCCCTCGGTGTCCTGGCTCCATGGGACGTGCAGTGCCTGTGGGAACTGATGGAGAGAGCTTCAGGTTGGGTATTGGGAACAAATTCCTGCCTGGGAAGGCAGCCGGCCCTGGCACAGGTGCCCAGAGCAGCTGGGGCTGCCCCTGCATCCCTGGCAGTGCCCAGGGCCAGGCTGGACAGGGCTGGAGCAGCCTGGCACAGTGGCAGGTGTCCCTGCCATGGCAGGGTGGCACTGGGGGGGCTCTGAGCTCCCTTCCCACCCACCCATTCCATGACTCCATGGTTGTGGAATGCAAAGCCAGCTGAGACTGAGACAAGTTCTCCCTTCCAGCCCCGCCTTGCTCCCTGTCCCAGCCCCTTCTGTGCTTTGTGAGAATTCCCTGTGTTCTTCCATGGCTCTTCCAGCCTTGAGCTCTCCAGAGCTTTGGTGTCCATTTAAGCCAGAGTTGTGCAGAATTTTGTGGAACTCTTGGCATTCATGGCCCAGCAGAGAATTGCTGAGGAGTTCTTGTTGGAGGTGCCCCTGCTCATGGCAGGGGTCGGGCTGTGCTCCAGGGAACAGGGTCAGGAGAGAGGGAACGGCCTCAGGCTGGGCCAGGGCAGCTCAGGGTGGGCACAGCAGGACTTTCCCCATGGAAAGGGGGCTCAGGCACTGGAACTGCCCAGGGAGGCTTGGATCCCAATCCTCCCCATGGAAAGGGGGTCAGGCCTTGGCAGGGGCTGCCAAGGGAGCTTTGCAGTGCCCATCCCTGGAGGTGTCCAAGGAATTCCTGGAGGTGGCACTCAGGGCTCTGGGCTGGTGACACAGCAGTGGTGACAAGGTGGCCATTGGGCACAGCTGGGACTCCATGGGCTGGGAGGGCTTCTCCAACCTCCCTGAATCTGGGACTGTCAAAGACTTTTGGGCACAGATTCCAGGGAAAAAGGCATCAAAGAAAGTTTAGAAATAAAATCCTGAACAGTTTTTGTTCAGATCAGTGCCCTTGGTTTGGGTGAATGTTGTACCTGCAGTTAAGTAAGCACTGATTGGAAGATGAGGAAATACATTTATATTCACATTACACTTAATTCCATTTGTGTGGGGACATGCTGCTGGTTGGTCTCTGCTTGGGTGTATCCCACAGCACCCCAGGAATTCCTGGATTTCAGGCACTGGTTAAAGCCCAGCTCTGGAGTTGTGGGGGAGCTCATGGGCTGAGCCAGGCTTGGCTCTTCCTCTGTGATCCCCTTCCCCTGTCCCCAGTTGTTCTGATCCCCATCCAGCCTGGCCTTGGGCACTCCCAGGGCTGAGCAGTTCACACTGCCCAGTGCTGCAGGAGCGGGGAGCTGGGATAACTGGGAGCATCCTGAGTGACCTGGTTGGTGATTCCCTGGCAGGGGCTGTGAGTCCCTGTGATCTCCCTTTGAGCTGAAGGGTTCTGTGAAAGTTCATTTAGGGAAAAAAATAAAAGCCTTTGGCCCTCAGGTACCTTTGCTTATTAGAAACTTTCAAAAATCTTTTTCAGGATTGGAAGCTTGCAAAGGAATTCACACTGAATGAAAATCATTTCCTGAAGCTGGGTCTGTTCCAGGAACTGTAACCCAAATGTTTCTCTGTCCGTGGAGGAGATTTCACGTTTGAAGAAACTTCTACTGAAGGTAGGAACATCTCCCTGTCCTTTTGTCTTGGGATGGCTGGGTGGGAAGGGAGCTCAGAGCCCCCCCAGTGCCACCCTGCCGTGGCAGGGACACCTGCCACTGTGCCAGGCTGCTCCAGCCCCAGTGTCCAGCCTGGCCCTGGGCACTGCAGGGATGCAGGGGCAGCCCCAGCTGCTCTGGCAATTCCAGCCCAGCCAGCAATTCCTCATGGCCAAGATCCCATCCATGGCTGCCCTCTGGCACTGGCAGCCATTCCCTGGCTCCTGTCCCTTGTCCCCAGTCCCTCTGCAGCTCTCCTGGAGCCCCTCTGGGCCCTGCCAGGGGCTCTGAGCTCTCCCTGGGTCCTTCTCCTGCCCAGGTGAGCACTCCCAGCTCTCCCAGGCTGGATCCCTGGGAGCTGAGGGGCTCCAGCCCCAGGGGCTGCTGCTTTGCAGGTGGGGTCTCACCTGAGCAAAGGAGTAGAATCCCCCCTCCCCTGTGGGTCAGCCCAGCACGGGGGGAATTCTGGCCAGGGCCTGTGAAGTTCCTTTTTAAAGGACCAGGTAATTCCCAGTAATAGGATGAGCTCTGTGGTGCTGGGTGCTCAGTTCTGGTGGCTGCTCCTGGGATTGATCCTGGTATTTAATACCTTGAGTCATGTGAGAGGGAATTGTGGTGTCCCAGGGATATTCCTGGGGATGGAGCCCGGGCTGAGGGGCCCAGTCCCTGTCCCTGTGCCATCCCTGAGCCTGGGCTGGCTTTTCCCCATGGAAAGGGGTCAGGCCTTGGCAGGGGCTGCCCAGGGAGCTTGGCAGTGCCCATCCCTGGAGGTGTCCAAGGAGTTCCTGGAGGTGGCACTCAGGACTCTGCGCTGGGGACAGTGGGTATTGGGCACAGCTGGGACTGGATGGGCTGGGAGGGCTTCTCCAGCCCCAGGGATCCTGGGATTCTCAGTGTGCTGGCCAGGATCCTCCCTAAAACCAGGTTCAACTGGGAAAAGATTCCTCTCAGAACCTGAGCTCGGGTCCATAATGGCTGGGAAGAGCATGGATCCTCTTTCCCTGTTCTCCTGGGCACTGCTGTGGCTGTTGCAGGTGGAGGTGCCACTCTGTGGGCTCATGGTGGGGCAGGCAAAGGGAGCAGGCCGGGATCTCTCACTGGAGTCCCCCAGGGAGCAGTGGGAGCCATCCAGCAGGGCAGCCCGAGGCACACAGGAGGAGCTGCCCTCGCCTGCAGCAGCAGTTCCATTGTGGATTGGCTGCCCTGGCATTCCCTGGAGGTGGGGAGCAGCAGGATCCCTCCCAGTGCCAGCAGTGCAGTGGCTCACTCGGCCATTTTCCTGCTGGGAATTCCATTGGGAAAAGCTCCCCTAATGCTCCAAAGGGAGGAATTTTATATAAAACAAGTTCTCCCATGGAAATAGGTGATGAGTTGAAGATGCACAGATTGGAATGGTTAGGTGGGACATTGGGAAGGATTTCCTGCTGGTAGGGTGGTCAGGGGTGGGATGGACTTCGAAGGGAGGCTGTGGTTGGATACTGGAATGCCCAAGGCCAGGCTGGATGGGGCTTGGAGCTCCCTGGTCCTGGTGAGAGCTTTGGTAGGCTCAGCCTAGTTATTTTTGTGTCCCCAGCAGTTGTTGATTCCCTGCTGTTCCTCCTGGGATCACTCCCCTATCCACTGGCCCTGGTTTGGGATCTGCCTGTGCCTTTTCCTCTTTCTGATTTGTGCTGATTCATTTATTCCCTTTCCTCCCTCTGCTGAGTCACCGAGGGGGGGGAGTTTTGCTCTACAGCTGTCTGGGGATTCCATGCCCAGCCCTCCCCTGGGAATTCAGCTGAGCCATTGATCAGCCTGGCCTCGTCCATCTGTGTTTTCCAGGTGGATTTTCAGTGGTAGAACAGTTTGCTGAAAAAGCTGATTTGGGGGTTCACGTTCAGCAGGTTCAGTAAAGTGAGATTTTATTCCCTGGAGCTGGGATAACTGTTACTGGATAACTGGAATTAAAGGTGGAGAGTTCTTGGATGGATGTGTGGTCCTGGTGTTCTCCAAACTTCTTCCCATACTGGAATTGGAGGGAATTCCCCATGTTTTGGGGTATTTTTTGTTGCTTTGTGTAGCAAAGCTTAAAATTATTTATTCTTATGGAGGAAGTAGAGGAAATTTTGTATTGAAACTTGGAAAAAAAAAAAAAAAGATAAGCTTGAAATTCCTATCAGGAATCTGTGTCTGTCCTGGCTAAAATCCACCCTGGATGGAGCTGGGACCTGTTCAGCTGGGCCAGAGGTGCTGGAGTTGGGGTTGGCTTTGGGATTTTGTACTGGATGTTACTGGGATGGTGGGAGGATCCCAAAACTCTTCTTGGGACCGTCCTTCCCTCAACACTTCTATGTGCTCCCACCTAGTGAAAACAGTCAGTGTTTTATGTTAGCAGGAATGGTCTTAAATGGGCCTAAAAAATCAGTAAGTCTTGGGAATTTTGTCCTGATTTCCAGGCGGAGTTGCCTGGGGGGTTCCTGCCCCTCCCTGTTTGCTTTTCCTGGCACTGGAGTGCACAGAGCATTTTGGAAAGGCTGGAAAATGCTGTGGCTGTTTGGTGTGTGCCTGTGTGTGCTGAGGCTCAGGGAGCCCTGAACTGGCTGAGAGTAACCCTGGGAGAATCACAGCAAACAGGGACTGGGTACTCCTGGAGCTGTGGGATCAGGGGGCTGGGGAGGGCTCTGGGGCCCTGTGGGTCACCTGGGAGTGACCCTGGCACTGGCACCGTGCCCCCGGGTCCCTTCCCTGCTGTTCCCACTGCAGTCCCCAAAGGGAGCCGTGGTTCCCTGGAGCTGCTGGCAGCAGGAGGCTGGGTGATCAGCCATGCAAAATAAATAATTCAAGGACCAGTTCCCCATTGGAATTCCCAGCCAGGAGCTCCTCGGGCTCAGAACATTCTGTGTAAAACATTGATTTTGTCCTTCATGCAAATGAGCAGCTCTGGGGCAGGTGCTGTCCAGGATATGGCTCTGGGGAGGGTGGAAAATGAAATAAAATTAATACAATAAAGTAAAATAACACAAAACAACATAAAACCAAAATAAAATAAAATATGTGTCCTCCCCCTAGCTCCTGAGCAGATGGAGTAGGAGAAAAAGAACTGAGCAGAGCAGAGGTGGCAAAAGGGGTCGTGGCAAAAGGGGTCCTTTGTTTGGGGTTTTTAACAGCAAGTGCATCACTTGTTGGAACTTTTTATAAACTCAGCTGGGATTTTGTTGGCAGGGAATTGAATATTCCCAGCCCTGAGGAGGCAGGGTTTGTTAGTCTTGGAATTCTGTGTTGGAATGGGGAGATTAAATATCTCCTGCACTGTCCCAGAATTCAAACACCCCAACACTGGTTTTTATCCCTAATGGGAATTCATTAATGGGTTGGAAGCTGGTGCTGCTGTGCTGGGACGGGGGGCTCCAATCCAGCTGGGGCCCACAGACACCTACAGAAATCATCCTTGGGCTGAGGGAGGGCAGGGGTGGAGGGGATGCTGGGAGGGAATTCCTGCCTGGGAGGGTGCCCGAGCAGCTGGGGCTGCCCCTGCATCCCTGCAGTGCCCAGGGCCAGGCTGGACACTGGGGCTGGAGCAGCCTGGCACAGTGGCAGGTGTCCCTGCCATGGCAGGGTGGCACTGGGGGGGCTCTGAGCTCCCTTCCCACCCAAATCATCCCAGGATTCCCTGAGCCATTGGTGCCCATGCAGAGGATCTTTAATTGGTGTTGTTAATGAGCTGTCCAGAGCGTGGTGCCCGCAGGGGATGCCATGGGGCTCTCCTTGGCTGCAGCCTCACTGCTCCTTCCCAGCCCTGCAGCTCCTGCAGAGCCTCAGGGCTTGGTGTGGCACTGGAAATCCCTGGGATGTGCTCCCCCAATGCATCTCAGCTCCAGCCCCGCAGCAGGTGCTGACACAGAGCTGCTCCCCTGGAGCCCTCGTGGGTGTTCCCTTGGATATTCCAGAAATAAAATCAGCAGCCAGGAAGGGCTCTGAGTGTCCACCCGAAAAAGGGAAAATGTCTCTGCTTTACTGGTGGAGAAGTGACCTAAATTTAAGCACTGAGATGGGGGAAATGGCAGATGCCACGGAATCAGAGAGTTCTGGAATGGATTGGATCAAAGGGACCTCAAATTCCCCCCAGTGCCACCCTGCCATGGCAGGGACACCTCCACTGTGCCAGGCTGCTCCAGCCCCAGTGTCCAGCCTGGCCCTGGGCACTGCCAGGGATGCAGGGGCAGCCCCAGCTGCTCTGGCAATTCCAGCCCAGCCCCTCTCCACTCTGGCAGGGAAGGTCAGGCAGCTTTTCCTGGAGATGTATAAAAAGTTCAGTAAAGCTGTGGAATTGCCAGGATTACAATGGGTGTCAGTTTGGAAGGTGAGAATTCCATCTGGATTCCACACCAATGGAAGGAATATTTCTGCATTTGGGTTGACTGAGCCCCCAAACCTCCTTCACTGAAGGCCTTTGGTGCCAGATTTTCCCTCGGTGAATTTATAACCAAGCAGAGATGGTTAAAAATACCCAAAGAACAGTTTGTGAGGAACACACCGAGCCCAGCAGTGCTGTCACTGCAGTGTCATGTAGGTTGAACATTCAGATGGCTGCTCCCAGCTCTGAAATTCAGTGCTGAAATCCCAGAATCCCAAAATCCCTGGGCTTGGAAAAGCCCTCCCAGCCCATCCAGTCCCAGCTGTGCCTGACCCCCACGTGTCCCCAGCCCATTCCCTCCCAGCTCCATTCCCTGCTCCCTCCAGCCCCTCCAGGGCTCTCCTGGCAGGAGCTGTCCCCAGGATTCTGGGGAAACTCCTGATGTGTACAAGAAACTCAGTGTTTCCCCAATTCCATGTCCTGGTTCTGTGAATGCTTCACTCGAAGCTTCACTGTGGAAGTTACACCATGAAGGACTGGGAGATTTAAAATCTGATGGGAAAATTGGGGTCTTCAGCCTTTTGCAAGGCCCTGCTCTGGTGGCTGGGAGGCAGAGCCCCCTCAGTGTCATTCCTGGGGGAAAATGGGGTTTTAGGAGGGCAGTGTCCAGGCTGTCCTGTAGCTGAGGTTATGCAGAATGTGACCAGCAGAGGATCAGGCACAGGGACATTTTTGGATGCTGGGAAAGCCAAAGGCATGGATGGGAGAGTTCTGTGTGCGGAAATGGGGATGTGGGTTAGGTTAAAAACAGCCTTGTGATCCTGGTGTGGAATCACATGGTGCTGCTGGATCATCTGGGAGTGTGGCACAGGGACACGGCCCAGCCCAGGCTGAGTGTGCAGAGTGTGGGAGCCAGGGCTGGCACTGCCCAGGTGTGTCCCCTGTGTCCCTGGGGAGTGGCAGCCACTGCCTGCTGGTTGTGTCCGTGGCTGCAGAGGGACTGGGGACAAGGGACAGGACACAGGGAATGGCTGCCACTGCCAGAGGGCAGCCATGGATGGGATCTTGGCAATGAGGAATTGCTGGCTGGGCTGGAATTGCCAGAGCAGCTGGGGCTGCCCCTGCATCCCTGGCAGTGCCCAGGGCCAGGCTGGACACTGGGGCTGGAGCAGCCTGGCACAGTGGAGGTGTCCCTGCCATGGCAGGGTGGCACTGCAGGGAATTTGAGGTCCCTTCCCACCCAACCCATTCCAGAATTCTGTGAATTCTGTACCTTCACTGTGGCCAGTGAAGGTTGTTGGGGAGCTGAGGTGAGATGGTGAAGGGCAGCATTGGAAGAGGAAGTGTTTAGCAAGAGGAAGAGCCCTGGAAGAGTCTCCTAGGAGTGGTCAGAACAGTGCTTTGGTTTGGTGTACCTCACAGCTCTTCCAGAATTTCAGGTATTAGGAAAGCAAAGTGGAAAAACATGATTAATAGAACTCCCACAGAGAAAAATGGGGATAACAAAAGGGCAAACTAGGGTTGGAGTAGGAATGGATGGAAATGGGGGATTCAAAGTGCAGTGCCCCAAGAACGACCCTGAGGAGCTGGAGCCTGTCCAAGGAATGGAGCTGGGAGGGAATGGAGCCCCAGCAGGGCTGAGGGAGCTGGGCAGGGGCTGAGCCTGGAGCAAAGGAGGCTCAGGGGCCCTGGTGGCTCTGCACAAGTCCCTGGCAGGAGGGGACAGCCGGGGGGGTCGGGCTGTGCTCCAGGGAACAGGGACAGGAGAGAGGGAACGGCCTCAGGCTGGGCCAGGGCAGCTCAGGGGGGATTTTGGGGAAATTCCTTCCCCGGGAGGGTTGGAAAGCACTGCATGAAGTCCCCATCCCTGGAAGTGTTCAAAAATGTGTGGAGGTGGCACTTGAGGACACGGAGTGGTCGTGGTTGGGTTGGGGTGGGACTCAGAGCATGCACAGTGGGTGTGGAGCAGTAACCAGTGCCTTCCTGCCCCCAGCCAGTCGTGTCCCATCACCATGTTCTGGAAGTTTGATTTGAACACAACGTCACACGTGGACAAGCTGCTGGACAAGGAGGATGTGACCCTGGAGGAGCTGATGGACGAGGATGACGTCCTGCAGGAATGCAAGGCCCAGAACCGGCGGCTGCTGGACTTCCTGTGCCAGCAGCACTGCATGGAGCAGCTGGTCACCCTCATCACCCACGAGCCCCCCGTGGACATGGACGAGAAGGTCCGATTCAAGTAGGTATTGGAGCCCTGGGCCATGCCAGCCAGGGATCCCGGGGCTCAAACAGAGATTCCACCTGGGCTCCGTCCCTCTGCCAGGGCCCCTCTGGGGGAGGGAGGCTTTGAGCGCTGGGGGTGTTCCAGCTTTTGGGGTTTGGAGGGAACTGATTTGGTTTTGATCAAAAAAAATCCTATTTCATGTAATGTCTCCAAAAAAACATAACTCAAGTAATGTCTCAAATAATCAAATCTCAAATAATGTAAAAAAAAAAAATCCTATCTCAAATTAAGTCTGCAAAAAATCTTATCCTGCTGTTCCCTCAAAATCCAAAGCCCCCAAATAGGTTTTTATAGGAAGGGGAAGCACAAGAGGTAGAATTCTCTGACCTCAGTGGGTTTCCAATCCCACAGAACAAAGTGAGCTGGAAATGAATAAAATCTGGGATGTTTGCAGTGTGCTGCACATCCAGATCCTGCTGATTTCAGGGAGCACAGCTCCGGGCAGGCCTTGCCTCTGCTCAGACCACACTGAGCTCCTAGCAGGAGTTTGCTTCTCACCAAAGTTGTGTTTATGCATTTTTAACCCACTGTGTCCTCAAAAATATTGACATTTGGGTTTGGGGAGTTTGTTTGCTTTTGTGAAGTTTACATAAAAATAAAAGGCTGCTCTGACTATAAATAAATGAAACTGGGCAGGTTTTTCCTGGTGGGAATGGATCAGGGCTGGGGTTGGTGGAAAGCCACAGAAGTGCCATGTTCAGGTGTGGTTTTGGGTAAGAGTTGATAATGGTGTGAGGTGGCTGCTCCCAGGTGAGTGAATGCCCAGGAGTATGTGGGGTAATAACTTGGAATGTCCTGTGGCTGCTGTGCAAGGATCCTGCTCTGAAGGGTAAATTTGGAACACACCTGCAGAGCTGCCCCAGCCCTGGGGCCAGCAGCAGAAGGACCTGGAGCAAGTCCAGAGCTGCTCCCAGGGATGGAGCCCCTCTGCTCTGGAGAGGCTGGGAGAGCTGGGAATGCTCCCCTGGAGAAGGGAAGGGTCCAGGGAGAGCTTCCAGCACATTCCAGGGCCTGCAGGGGCTCCAGGGGAGCTGCAGAGGCAGGATTCCCTGATTGTTACCAAACAGGTGAAGAATGAGGGAGGGGGGACAAGGACAGAGGTTTCAAGTTGGAAATCCCTGCTGGGACAGCGAGGGCTGATGTTCATGGAGCATTTCCTTGGCAGCACTTGGGACTCCCAGGCAGGGCAGGCCCAGAAGTGTCTCCAAAGCCTGGAGAGAGGAAGGAGGGTTTGAGCTCATTAGAAACCAGGGAAACTTTTGGGATAAATAAAAGCTGAGCAGGAAGAATGGACTCTGTGTAAATCCAGATGGAATCCCACTTTTGGCTCTTCAGGAAAGGTTATAAAAGTGAAGTGGAACAGGGAGAAACTCGATAGCTTGGAAGGATCTGGGGCTCGGGATATGTGGGGAGAGGATCATCCAAGGGCTTTATCCCTGGGACGGTGGGAGATGGAGGTTCATAAAGTTCAGAGGGGAAATTGCAAAGAGTGAAAGACCCTGGTAAATCCCCATCCAAGCAGAACTTGTGGAATTAAACACCTGAAAGGAGGCTGGAGCAGGAAAGGAGTGTGAATCTTGGATCAGCCAGTGAGCTGCTGAGCCCAGGGGTGAGGGAAGCTCAGCTCCCAGGGGTCGGAGGGGGAGTTCGGGTGAGGTGAGGTCCCTGCAGCCTGGAAACCTCCAGGGCTGGGATGTGGTGCCAGAACAGGAATGGTGAGGGCTGGATCAGACCTGGGGCTGTGAGAGCTGCAGGAGCAGAACCTGCTGGGACAGGAGGAGCTCCCATTTCTCCCTGTCCATGGGATGTGTATCCCAGGGGAGCTCCACACACAGTTCTTTAGGAATTGTGGACATCTTGTGCATGGAATGAGTCAGGAAAAAGAGAAAAGAGTCCTGGTGTCCCCTCAGGGACGGAAGGGCTGGAAGGTCCCTCTGTGGTGGTGACAGTGACATCCTCAGCTCCTTGGGCAGCTCAAGCCTGGAACAGCAGCAGCAGGGCCTGAGGGGCTTTTGGAAGCTCCAGGGCTGGAACTGCAGGAACAGGAGGAGGCTGCTGGGGAAGGGAATGGTGCAAGGAAAGGGTCAAAGCTGCCAGCTGGCCTGGAAGTGTTCTAGTGGCTTGTAGGGAATGCAGAGATTGGGAAAGATCCTGGGGCAGAAACCTGGTGTGATCACAAATCACCAATAACCCATTGTGGGAAAAGTGTCCTCACCAGAGGGAACCTAGTGGCATGGGTTGGGTGGGAAGGGACCCCAGAGCCCCCAGTGCCACCCTGCCATGGCAGGGACACCTGCCACTGTGCCAGGCTGCTCCAGCCCCAGTGTCCAGCCTGGCCCTGGGCACTGCAGGGATCAGGGGCAGCCCCAGCTGTGCCGGGGCCTGCCCACCCTGCCAGGCAGGAATTCCCTCCCTTGCCGAGGCCTCTGCAGGGGCAGATCCCCAGTTCCCCCTGTGTGTCACTGCAGGTATCCCAACACGGCCTGCGAGCTGCTGACCTCGGACGTGCCGCAGATCAACGACAAGCTGGGCGGGGACGAGACCCTGCTCAACATCCTCTACGACTTCCTGGACCACGAGCCCCCCCTGAACCCCCTCCTCGCCAGCTTCTTCAGCAAGACCATCGGGAACCTCATTGCACGGAAAACAGAACAGGTGGGATGGGGGCTGTGCCAGTCCAGGGCATTCCCCAGCTCTGCCCGTGTTGTGTCCTTGCTGTGAGCTCGTGGCATTCCTGGAGCTGGGTTTGAGCTTGGAGGTGAAATGGAGTCTCTGGAAAGTTCTCAGAATTCCTCAGTGCAGGGACATGCTGGCGTGGACAGGCTTGTCCCAGAGTTCTGGGTTGGGGTCTGCCACGGCCAGGATTTCCCCATGGCACAGCTAAAGCTTCACTTTTCATACCACTTTTCATACTTTTCAGTCATTTTGAGGACCATCAGAGTCATCCCAATCCATAAACAAGGCCTCAGGCTCATCCCTATGGGAGCAGTGCTGAGGCATGGGCTGAGCAGGGAGTCAGGATTGCTCACATCCCAATAAATACTGGGGTTGTAAATGCTGCCTGGTCAGGAGCTTGAGAGGAAAGGGAAATTCTCCAGCTTCACTTATTTCCATGGCACTGGGTTTCTCTGTGGCACAGAGGGGAGAAAAGTTGGCTGAAAAGATCTGATTTGGTGTTGCCTTGGAATAAGAATTATCTCCTTGTTCCCTGAAGAGTTCCCAGCCCAAGGTCGGTGGTTGAGACAGAAAGGAGAAACTCCAGGGGTTTTGGGGGAGCTGTGGGGGAGTTGTGAGGAAATTGTGAGAGAGCTGTGGGGAATTTGTGAGGGAGTTGTGAGGGAACTGTGAGGGAGTTGTGAGGGATTTGTGGGGGAGTTGTGGTGGATTTGTGGGGCAGCTGCGAGGGAGCTGTGACAGAGTTGTGTGTCCCGCTGGCAGCTGATGCGGGCTCCTGTTTCCACAGGTGATCTCATTTTTGAGGAAAAAGGACAAGTTCCTGAGCCTGGTGCTAAAGCACATTGACACCTCTGCCATGATGGACCTGCTGCTGCGCCTCATCAGCTGCGTGGAGCCCACGGCGCTGCGCCAGGACGTGCTCAACGTGAGGGCCTCCCCTCCCAGCCCCTGTCCTGCCTGGCTCGGGGCAGATGGCTCTGTGGTCTTTCATCCCAGGAGCAGATCCACCCCTCTGGCAGCTCCTGTTCCCATGGCTGGGGGCACCCTGTGGGGTCCCTCAGCCCCGTTGTGGCTCCAGGGCAGCAGCAATGGGGTTCCCACTCATTTTTCCATGGAGCAACCTCTCTTTAGTCCAGCTGGAGAGCTTGGAGAAAGGGAAACTGTGTTCTTCCCAGTGTTTGGAAATCCAGACATTGATTGGGACAGTAATTAGTGTAATTCCTTACCATGTTCAAGGAATCATAGAATCAAGGAATCCTGCAATGGTTTGGGTTAGAGAGGACCTCAGAGCCCCTGCAGTGCCACCCTGCCATGGCAGGGACACCTGCCACTGTGCCAGGCTGCTCCAGCCCCAGTGTCCAGCCTGGCCCTGGGCACTGCCAGGGATGCAGGGGCAGCCCCAGCTGCTCTGGCAATTCCAGCCCAGCCAGCAATTCCTCATGGCCAACATCCCACCCATGGCTGCCCTCTGGCACTGGCAGCCATTCCCTGGCTCCTGTCCCTTGTCCCCAGTCCCTCTGCAGCTCTCCTGGAGCCCCTCTGGGCCCTGCCAGGGGCTCTGAGCTCTCCCTGGATCCTTCTCCTGTCCAGGTGAGCCCCCCCAGCTCTCCCAGCCTGGCTCTAGAGCAGAGGGGCTCCAGACCCATCCCTGGAAATGTTTTTCCTTGTAATGGAAGTTTGCTCATTTCCCAGGCAGCTGAGTTTGGGCATTGTTGGGATGAGTCTGGGGGATCTCACACATCCAGCAGTTTTCCTGGAACAGGAGTGGGATGTGAATGGAGATGAAGGGCTGACCCTGCAGGTGGGACTGGGAGGGAGGAGTGGAAGGGAGCCTTTGGAGGGGACATTCCTGGTTTGCCTGGGCCAGAAAGGGGGAAAGGGAATGGTTTGCATGGAGAGCAGGAAGTTGTGGAGCAAGGTGAAGGTGCAATGACAGCTGTTCCAACATCTGGCAGGAGCTGCTGGGTGTGAGCAGCAGGAAGAGCAGGAGCTGCTGGGAGAACGTGGTGGAACTTCTTCCTCCGCTGCCCAGATGAGGCTGTTTGTCCCTGGAGCATTCCATGTTTTCCAGAGGGGCCTGCGTGTTAGTTCCATGGCAGGATGCAAATCCAAACCCATCCCCATCCATGCTGATGCAAATCTGAATCCATCCCTGTTCCTGCCCAGGGATGGGATTGGAGAGGGAAGGAAGGGCTTCCCCTTCCTGCAGAGCTTCCCAGAGCCCCTCTTGTTCTGAGTTCTCGGACATCCATCGAGGATTTTCTCTGCTGCTCTTTTCCCTGCAGTGGCTGAATGAAGCCAGGATTATCCAGAGACTCGTGGAGCTGATCCATTCGAGCCAGGATGAGGATGTGAGTGGCACCAGGGCTGGGGATTTGGGGGCTGGGTCCTGCAGGGTCCAGGACTTTTCTGTTTGCCTTGTCCTGGTGACCTGTGGAGGAGCCACCGGGGATGGCCTTGGGATGTCCCATCCTCTGCTCAGCACCAGATGAGGGGTTTGGAGTGATTTCATCTGCTTTTGACTTATTTTACCCCCAATTTCTTGGTTCTGCTGCCTCAGTTCATCTCAATCTTACAGACAGTGGGGATTTCCCTTGGGATTAGGGAACGTGCTGTTCCTGGAAGGTCCTTTAAATCAGCCACTTGATGCATTTTCAAATCTTTCTAGCCCCGAGTAGGAATTCAGTTGTAAAGTCCAGAAAATGCAGTTCTCTGAGCCCAGTTCCCTCAGCTCATCCCAGGCAAACTTCCCTCTGCCAGGGGAAAACTGGGAACATCCCCATGGATTTGTGTTGGGGCAGATACTGAGGTACAGCAGCTCCAGAGAGGCTTTGCCTGATGGCCAGAACTGGAGGATGAATTCCTCAACCACCCCTGGAAAGCCTTTTAAATCCCAGAAATTAAATGGTGAAGGGTTTTCTCAAGCAGGAAAGCTGAGCAGTGGGAGGAAGGATGGGATGTTTGTGTTGTGAATGTGCAGATTAGCAGGATTGAGAAGAGAAAAAGGAATCCTCACCCCTGAGCTCCTGGACTGCTCTTGGTGGTCACACTTGGACCAATCCTTTCTGAGTGCAAAGCCTGTTGATGCTGCTGCTCCAGGAGTGTCCAGCCCTGAGCAGCTCCAGGGGAAGCAGGAATGGGATTGATCCCAGCCAGAGCATTCCAGCCTAGCTGGGTTTAGCCCTGGCACTGACACTGCTCCTGTCCCATTTCCAGAGGCAATCCAATGCTTCCCAGACCCTGTGTGACATCATCAGGCTGAGCAGAGACCAGAGCACTCAGCTTCAGGATGTCCCGGAGCCAGATCCACTTCTCACAGCACTGGAATCGTGAGTACTGGGGGCACTGGGCCTGCTGGGGGCACTGGGTGCACTGGCAGTGGCTCCCAGATGGCTTTGCAGGGAGCAGACAGAGCAGGGATGTTCTTTGGAGCTGGAGCGGGTCCCAATGGCCTCTTCAGCCACCTGGGGCTTGGGGCTCTGTCCAGGGGCAGGAGAGGGGGTCAGGGAGCCCAAAGGTCCCAGCCTGATCCAGGATGAGGCAAAAACCCAAGGAATTCCAGCCTGGAGAAGGGAGGGATGTGTAGGGACCTCACAGCACCTTCAGGGTCTGAAGGGATCTCAGAGGAAGCCAGAGGGGGATTGTTCATCCAGAGTGGAGTGCCTGGACAGGAGGAGTGACACAAAGCTGCCAGAGGGCAGGGATGGATGGGATATTGAGAATTAGGAATTCCTGGCTGGGAGGGTGAGCAGGGGCTGGAATTGCCAGAGCAGCTGGGGCTGCCCCTGCATCCCTGGCAGTGGCCAAGGCCAGGCTGGACACTGGGGCTGGAGCAGCCTGGCACAGTGGCAGGTGTCCCTGCCATGGCAGGGTGGCACTGGGGGGGCTCTGAGCTCCCTTCCCACCCAGCCCATTCCAGGGTTCCCTGATTTCCCAGATAACATTCAGTGTGTACCAGAAGTGTTGATTTTCCCAGTTTTGCTCGATTCCTGCTGTTGTTCCTTTGCTCTTTGCAATGAACATTCAATTATTTATGTCCTGTGTTTTCTGCTTCTTATCGTTGGTTCAAACTTGAAAACCCCAGGAGATTCTCCAGGGAACTGAACTAAAAAACGCTCTTTTAGGTCTGGAGGCAACATTTTGTCAGGAAAGGGCTGGAAGGAGCCATGGAAGGGACTGGGGCTCCCAATTCCCCTGGGATATTTCTGTCCACCCAGAGCTCTGAATTTAGGTGGCATTGGGGATCTTTTCTCCTCATCCAGGGCTGTCAGTTTCTCCATGAGTGGGATAATTCCTGGGACAGGACATGGTGTGTGCGGGTGGGAATGGCACTGGGAAGCCACTGGGACCATCCTGGGCTTGCCATGGAGCTCTGTCCTTACCAGGACTGCTCTTCTATAAATTTTTCATTTCCCTCACTGCTCTTGCAGGAATGAGGTAGATCCAGTCTTTGTGCCATGGCCTGGAAGGATCCTGTGCTGGGAGAGTGTTGAATTCTCATGGAACCCTGGAAGGGGTTGGGTGGGAAGGGAGCTCAGAGCCCCCCCAGTGCCCCCCTGCCATGGCGGGGACACCTGCCACTGTGCCAGGCTGCTCCAGCCCCAGTGTCCAGCCTGGCCCTGGGCACTGCAGGGATGCAGGGGCAGCCCCAGCTGCTCTGGCAATTCCAGCCCAGCCAGCAATTCCTCATGGCCAAGATCCCATCCATGGCTGCCCTCTGGCACTGGCAGCCATTCCCTGGCTCCTGTCCCTTGTCCCCAGTCCCTCTGCAGCTCTCCTGGAGCCCCTCTGGGCCCTGCCAGGGGCTCTGAGCTCTCCCTGGATCCTTCTCCTTTCCAGGTGAGCCCCCCCAGCTCTCCAGCCTGGATCCCTGGGAGCTGAGGGGCTGCAGCCCTGGAGCAGCTCCGGGCTCTCTCTGGGCTCTGCAGCAGCTCCAGGTGCTGCTGCTGTTGGCTGTGGAGCTGGAGGCACGGGAGGTCACATCCCTGACTGGAGCCTGTGGCCTCTCCGCTGTGTCAGTTCTGAGCCCTCAGAATTTTGGAGCAGCTCCAGGTGTTGCTGCTGTTGGCTCTGGAGCTGGAGGCACGGGAGGTCACATCCCTGACTGGAGCCTGTGGCCTCTCCGCTGTGTCAGTTCTGAGCCCTCAGAATTTTGGAGGTGGGATTGCAGCTCGCTCATTCTCCCTGGGAATCCCAGGACCTTTATGAGGGCTGTGGTTCCCTGCAGTGGGAGGGGTGATGGCCATGGAAGACAAAGCACTTACAGATGTTTTTGGTAATTTTAGGCTTTCTTTGTAGTTTTGGAGAGGGCTGTGGGACCCTGCACTTCCAGGAACCATCTCCAGAATTCCTGCTCAAAATAAAGGAGCATTTTGGGCAGAGGGGTTCTGTGGCTCCTCTTCCCTTTCTGCTGAAGTTACAAAGCTCATTACCCTTCCTGGCCAATTTTCCCAGCCTTACAGTGACCTTTTGGGTCTTGGATAACTTTTATCATCCCCGAGTCAGGAGTGAATGATCAGCATGAAGGAGGTGGGATCAGGGAATGAGCCCCAAATCCAGGTTCAGGAGCTGCTGGCTGGGTGCAATAAAGGGAATTTGGTTCATTACAGAAAATTGCCTCCTTTTCCTGCCTCTGCCTTCCCTGCTCTGCTGACCAAGGGTATTTAGATGCTCCTTGTTCAAGTAAACCTCACTCATGAGTTATTCAGCTGTTTCTACATTTTTGTCTCATATTTTATTTATACCCATGGAAAGGAGACTTTTTGGAATGTTATAAAATAGTCAGGATTGGGCTGTGAACTCCAGGGCTGCTGGGTTTGATTGGATGTGGAACTGGGGAAGGCGGGGAAGGGGAAAGGATTTCCTGAGGGCTGGATTTTGGGGAGCTGTCCTTAAGGGACAGAGCTGGGATGTGGTGGGGAACAGGAGCTGCAGGATCTGGAGCAACATCTGACACAACCACAGGACACAGCCCCAGCTGTGCCGAGGGAAATTCAGGCTGGAGAGCAGGAAAAAGCTTTTCCAGCAAGGGGGATAAAGCTCTGGGATGGCTGCCCGGGGAGGGGGTGCAGTCACCATCCCTGGGGGTGTTTGACCAGCCTGGATGTGGCACTGGGGCCAGGCTCTGCCTGAGCTGCTGGGCTGGGCTGGACCCCATGGGCTGCAAGGTCTCTGCCAAGCCAGGGATTGTGTGAGCTGGGGAGCAGGGCTGGCCTCAGCCTCCTGTTCCTCCCAGCCGCCATCCCCTGGGCTGGCACAGAGCATGGGAAGGGGGGAGCTGCCCCTGGCCCCGTGTGAGCGAGCCTGTGTCCCCAGGCAGGAGTGCGTGGAGCAGCTCCTCAGGAACATGTTCGACGGCGAGCAGAGCGAGGCCTGCATCGTGAACGGCACCCAGGTGCTCCTGACGCTGCTGGAAACGCGGCGCTCCGGGTGAGCCGGGACCGCCGGGATTACTGGGATTGCTGGGACCGCCAGGACCGCCGGGATTACTGGGATCACTGGGATTGCTGGGACCGCCGGGACTGCTGGGATTAATGGGATCACTGGGATTGCTGGGACCACCAGGACCGCTGGGATCGCTGGGACCGCCGGGATTAATGGGATCACTGGGATTAATGGGATTGCTGGGATTACTGGGATCACTGGGATCACTGAGATTTCCAGGATCACTGGGATTGCTGGGATCACTGGGATTGTGGGATCGCTGGGATCACTGGCATTACTGGGATTGCCAGGATCACTGGGGTTACTGGGATCACTGGGATTGCCGGGATCACTGGGATCACAGGGATTACCGGGGTCACTGGGATCACTGGGTTTGCTGGGATCATTGAGATCACCAGGATTACTGGGATTACCAGTATCATTGGGATCACTGGGATTGCCGGGATTACTGGGATCACTAGGATTACTGGGATCACTGGGATTGCTGGGGTCACTGGGATAACCAGGATCAATGGGATCACTGGGATTGCTGGGGTCACTGGGATAACCAGTATCATTGGGATCACTGGGATTGCTGGGATCACTGGGATTGCCAGGATTACTGGGATTACCAGTATCATTGACATCACTGGGATTGCTGGGATCGCTGGGATAACCAGGATCAGTTGGATCATTCGGATCACCAGGATTACTGGGATTACCAGGATTACTGGGATTACCAGTATCATTGGGATCACTGGGATTGCCGGGATTACTGGGATCACTAGGATTACTGGGATCACTGGGATTGCTGGGGTCACTGGGATAACCAGGATCAATGGGATCACTGGGATCACCGGGACAGCGCTTCGGGACTGCCCAGGGGCTCCAGGCAGGGCTGGGGTCCCACAGGGAAAGGCACTTCCCAGACACAGGGCATGGCTTCAGGCTGGAAGAGGGGAGTCTTAGATGGGATTCTGGGAGGGGATTCCTGCCTGGGAGGGTGGGCAGGCCCTGGCGCAGGTGCCCAGAGCAGCTGGGGCTGCCCCTGCATCCCTGGCACTGCCCAGGGCCAGGCTGGACACTGGGGCTGGAGCAGCCTGGCACAGTGGGAGGAGCAAACATTTGTTAGGTAACTTGCTGAGCTATTTTCTTTGGAAGTGTTTGGGAGTCTGGAACCCCAGGAAGCACTTTGGGAATGTGGTTTGCCAGCTCTGATGAGAGGTTATTTCTGGTCAGCTTCTCCTGAGCTTGGCACAGGTTTGGTTGTGTGAGCAGCCCCTGGGAAATGATACCAATATTAACTAATACAGTATAATAAATAATAGAAATAACTAGTACAATAGAATCAATACCGTGCAGGTATGGGAATGTGTTCAGGAGCTGAATGTTATTATTTGTTTTCCTCATTTTTGAAGAGAAACCACTGACAGGCTCTTTAACAAAATCTCCACCTCTGGATACTGGGGGCAGTTCTGGTCCCAGGAGAAGGAAGCTGGAGTGCAGGAAGTGTAGGAGGAGAATGGTTTTAGTGGAATTGTTGATTAAACACCAAGTTGGGCACGGGTTTAGTATCATAAAGTCCTAGAATCCCAGGATGGACTGGGTTGGGGGGACCTTGAGGACCCTGGTCTCACTTGGCTGTTCAGAATGGGAGGAGGGATGATGGGTGACTCCGAGTGAACCCTGGTGTTCCCTCAGGGTGGAAGGCCTGATGGACTCGTACACTCAGGGATTCGAGAGGTCTTACACTGTCAACAGCAGCATCCTGCACGGCATCGAGCCCCGGCTCAAGGACTTCCACCAGCTGCTGCTGTGCCCCCCCAAGGTACCTCCAGCATTCCCGGGAGTCCAGACAGCTCCAGCACGGACACGAGGCCAGGCAGGGGACAGCCACACCGAATTCTGCAACGCTGGCCTGCAGGGATGAGCAGCAGGAGTCTGCAGCAGGAGTCTGAGGGTCGTGGTCAGGGAAATCTTTGGGACTGGGGGATTGAGTGGAGATGGGAAGGGATGGAGAGGAAGAAACTTTCAGTGGATAGTTGGATTTTAATCTTCTGATTTGGAAGTTAAATCTTCCAGTGACCCCCTGAACCATCCTCTTGGGAAGGGGGTTTAGGTTTCCCTGCTGAGAACATTCCTGAAATGGGTGGGTTCTGTTAAATCTGAGAATTCCAGCTGGGGTTGTTAGGGATCATCCAGTGCTACTCCGTGCAGGGCAGGGTGACCTGCAGCCGGTGACAGGGACACGTCCAGCTGGGATTGGGATGTCTGCAGAGCGGGGGAATCAGGCCCTCCAGGGCAGTGCAGGGCTCCAGGGCTGTGCCCCCTCCATGGGCAGTTCTTCCCCCTGGCGAGGTGGAATTCCCATGGTTGGATTTAGGGCCAGGGCCCCGCAGAGCCCTGGTGCAGGGGCGCCGTGGGAGGGCTGTGCTCCCCTGACTGCCCTCCCTGCTCCCCAGAAACCGGCGATCCTGACCACGCTGGGGGTGCTGGAGGAGCCGCTGGGGAACGCGCGGCTGCACGGCTCGCGGCTGATCGCGGCGCTGCTGCACGCCAACACCCCCAGCATCAACCAGGAGCTCTGCAGGCTCGGCACCATGGACTTGTTACTTGTGAGTGTCGGGGGCACTGGGGACGGGGCCTGGGGTTCCTTCTGTGCAGCCTTGTGCCAGGGGGCCAAAGTCTGATGTTTGCCTTACGTGCTCCAGCGAGGAGCAGATCCCTGGAGGAGCTCTTGTGATCCGCACCCGACTGCTTGGGGTTTTGGACTGAGCCTCCAGTTCCATGGCAGTTCAGTGGGGAAGGTGTGAAATGGTCTGTGCTGTGTGTGTGAGCTCCTGGAATGATGAGAGATGAATTTTCTCCCAGGATCCCTGAGGCTGGAAGAAGCCTCCCAGAACCAGTGGAGCCTTAAGAGAATTAATTCCACCCTTAGCAGTGATTTAGTTCCTGTTTTTCCTAGGCTTCATTGAGCCCCAGCAGAGTTAGGTTGTTTAATTCAGTGTGGCTGTGCTGTGAGTGCTGTCTGTGAGAGGATTCCTTAGTGCTCCATTTATTGGGAATATTCACTGATTTCCCAGCAGACTGAGCACCCTGGGAATTCAGAGCCCAGCCTGCACTGGGTGCTGGCATGTAGCAGGAAAACTGTTTGAGTGGAATTGCTTGATCAAACAACAGCTTGGGTAACAGTTTAATATCCCAGAGTCCCAGAATCCTGGGATGGGTTGAATTGGGAGGATCCTTAAAGAATCCTGGATACCATTAAAACCAGGAAAATGTATCCCGAGTAAACTCTTCCATCTCTCATTTCTCCTCCAGGATTTATTTTTTAAATACACGTGGAATAACTTTTTGCATTTCCAAGTGGAGCTGTCCATAGCAGCCATCCTGTCCCACTCGGTGCACGAGGGGAAGCCCAGCCCGGGGGAGCCGGGCAGCAAAGAGGAGGCTCCGAGCGGGAGCGCGGCCCCGGAGCCCCCGGAGCCCCCGGAGCGCCCGGAGCCCCCGGCCGGAGCCGCCGAGAACGTCATGGTCACCCACGTGAGAGCAGGGCTGGGCTGGGCTCACTGGGGTGGGCTGCGGGCACCAGGGTCACTGGGCTGGGGCCACAGGGTCACTGGGATGGGCTGGGGGCACCAGGGGATCTCTGGGCTGGGGCCACGGGGTCCCTGGGCTGGGGCCATGGGGTCCCTGGGTGGGCTGGGGGCACCAGGGTCACTGGGGTGGGCTGGGGCCACCAGGGGATCTCTAGGGTGGGCTGAGGTCACAGGGTCACTGGGGTGGAGCTGGGGCCACAGGGTCAGTGGGGTGGGGCTGGGGTCACCAGGGTCACTGGGATGAGGCTGAGGTCACCAAGGTCACAGGGATGAGGCTGAGGTCACCAGGGGATCTCTGGGGTGGGCTGTTGCAGAGCAGGCATTTGTCTCAATGTATATTTTTTTATTATTATTTATTTTATATGTAATTTTTAGTGGGTTTTGTTATAATTTATTGCCTTTTTAAATTGTTTTTATTATTTATTATCAAATTTTAGTGGGCTTTATTATTATCTATTTTTAGTGTGTTTTATTATTATTTATTATCATTTGTAGTGGGTTTTATTATTATTTTTAATCTATTTTTAGTGGGCTTTTTTATTATTTGTTATCATTTGTAGTGGTTCTCATGGAGCTGTGGTTGCTTTTGTGCCTTTATTTGCAGCATCCCATTAAAACTCCCCTCATGTAATGACCCTGTGAATCCCTTGGTATTTATTAAAATTATCCCTATTTATAATTAAAATTATCCCCATTTATTACTAAAATTCCATTTTTTAAAGTAAAAATTACTAGAAATTTCAGACAAACAACTAACCAAGACCATTGCAGCTGTTAGTGGCCAGGCCTCAGTGTGGTGGCTGGAAAGTGCCAGCAGGGCTTTAATTCCTGCTGCTGGAGGCTCAGGAGCACCTGGGCGTGCTCCAGGTGTGGCCAGGAAGGAGCTGGGCTCTTGGGCAGGGAGGGGCTGGGGTCTGAGCTCCTGAGAGCAGGATCCACAGCTCTCCTTTGGGAAATGCTGAATATCTCCTTTCCCCACAGCTGTTCCAGAAGTGCTGCCTGGTGCAGAGGATACTGGACGCCTGGGAAGCCAATGACAAAATCCAGTAAGGAACTGCTGGCCCGGGGCTGCACACTGACTGTGGAATATCCTTGGACAATTTCCATTTTCATGGTGTCCAGACACGCTCGGGCTTTGGTTGGGGTTTGACCTGGGGTGCTTTGCATGCTGAGAAGCCAAATTGCCAAGCAGACAGGGTTTGAAGGCAGGATGGGTTTATGGGTGTTTCCACACCCCATCCCAAACACTCACTCTTCTGCTTTCCTGCTGTCCCAGGGAAACTCATGCAATACTCACTTTTTAAATTTGTTTGTTTGTTTTAAATGTACAGTTTTGTTCTTCCCAGAGTAGAAAACTGTTGGAAGTTGGGATGGCTAAGCATTTGTGGCCTGGATTTCCTATTTTAGCTTTATAAATCTCTTGGATTTTGTGCTGATTGGGCTGATAAGAACTAAATATTCTAAAAGAGCTAAAGCATTAAAGTGGAAATATTCCAGAGGCTTCAGTTTCCGTGTCCAGCTCAGTGTTTGGTCCTCCCTCTCTATTTTGAGCTCCTGGTGGCTTCCAAGGGCTTTGGAGTCCCACTGGAATTGTTTAGGCCATAATTGGTGGATAGAGATCTGGATTACATTTTTTTTTGTTGGTGTGGTTTGGGTTTTTGGGTTTTTGGTTCTTTTTACAGCCCCTTGTTCACATAAGGAATTTTGCTGGGCATCTCCTTGCCCAGTTCTGTAGGACCAAAAATATCCCTGGGTGCTGCTTGGGAGTTTTCCTGATTAAACCAGAAAGGAGCCAGAGCTCATCCCTGTTTCCTGCCAGAGCTCCAGTCACCATCACACTGGAAAGAATCTGAATGGAAGGAAAAAAATAGGGATTTAAGCAGGGGAATCTCAGCTGGGGCTTTGGGAAGGTGGAGTTCCAGGAAGGTCCTTGGCTGCTCTCAGTGGGCAGAGGGAGGCCAGCAGGGACTGTCCCTGCATCCCTGGCAGTGTCCCAGGGCTGGAGCGGCCTGGGGCAGTGGCAGGTGTCCCTGGTGTCCCTGCCATGGCAGGGTGGCACTGGAGGGGCTCTGGGGTCCCTTCCCACCCAGACTGGTCCCTGGGCTGGTTTGGAGCACGGCTTCACTCTGCAGGAAGGGAGGCAGTGGGGAGCCAGAGAAGGGGCTCGGGGCTGCTCAGGCTCTGTGTTAGGAACTGCTTTTATCCCATGGGGAACCCCATGGTGGGATGGGAATGTCTTCTGTTCTGGGGGAGTCACTCTGAATCCCAGTCCCACCCTGGAGCTCTGCCAGTAGCTGTGTGTAGATCCTTAACTTGGAGAGTTTTCATCCCTGGGAATTGAAATCAGATTTATTCCTGCATCTTTTCCATGCTTAGCTCCTTGTTTGGAGCCCCTCCCACGGAGGGATCAGGAGGGAACAGGCAAAATGAGGGAAGGTCCCTGTGCCTGGAGCGAGCTAAACCCACCTTGCCAGAGCAGGGCTGATCCCTGTGTGGGGCTGGAATTCTGTGGGCATTGAGGCAGGAATGCCAGGCCCATTGCAGCTGGAATGCTGTGAGCACTGGGGCAGGAATGCTGTGGCCAGTGGGGCAGGAATGCTGTGGCCATTGGGGCTGGAATTCTGTGGCCACTGGGGCAGGAATGCTGGGGCCATTCCCAGGGCTCTGTCCTGGCTCTGTGATTATCCTGTCTCCGTGGGCATCCCATCCCAAGTCTGTGGGTGTTCTGTCTCCGTGGGTATCCCATCCCAGCTCTGTGGGTATCCCGATTCCCCGTGTGTCCTGATTCCCCGTGTGTCCCAGCTCCGTGGGTATCCCAGCTCCGTGGGTATCCCGGTTCCCCGCGTGTCCCGGCTCCGTGGGTATCCCGGCTCCGTGGGTATCCCGGCTCCGTGGGTATCCCGGTTCCGTGGGTATCCCAGTTCCCCGTGTGTCCCAGCTCCGTGGGTATCCCAGTTCCCCGTGTGTCCCGGCTCCGTGGGTATCCCGGTTCCCTGGGTGTCCCAGCTCCGTGGGTATCCTGGTTCCCCGTGTGTCCCGGCTCCGTGGGTAGCGGCTGCTCTCTGTTCCAGGGCAGAGGGCGGCAGGAGGAGAGGGAACATGGGCCACCTGACCCGCATCGCCAACGCCGTGGTGCACAACATGGAGAAGGGCCCCATGCAGGCCCAGATCAGTGACTTCATCAAAGGTACCGCCTGCTCCTCCTCCTCGTCCTCCTCGTCCTCGTCCTCCTCGTCCTCCTCGTCCTCGTCCTCCTCGTCCTCCTCGTCCTCGTCCTCCTCGTCCTCCTCGTCCTCGTCCTCCTCGTCCTCCTCGTCCTCGTCCTCCTCGTCCTCCTCGTCCTCGTCCTCCTCGTCCTCCTCGTCCTCGTCCTCCTCGTCCTCCTCGTCCTCGTCCTCCTCGTCCTCCTCGTCCTCGTCCTCCTCGTCCTCCTCGTCCTCGTCCTCCTCGTCCTCCTCGTCCTCGTCCTCCTCGTCCTCCTCGTCCTCCTCCTCCTCCTCCTCCTCCCCCTTCCCCTTCTCCTTTTCCTTCTCTTCCTGCTCCTTCTTCAGCTCCCCCTCACTGCTCTCCAGGGAAAAATAACCCTTGGGAGCTCCTGGGAGGACTCACTGCAGGTATTTCCTCAAGGTCCTTTCCCGTTGGAAAGGGTTCCCAGGGAAATCCCACAGTATCCCATCATTTAAAGTATGGTGAGACCCCATTTGGCTGCTCTTGGTTCCCACGCAGTGAGTTAAGATTGGACAGTGGGAGGTGTCCCTGCCATGGCAGGGTGGCACTGGAGGGGTTTGAGGTCCCTTCCCACCCAGCTCATTCCATGATTCCATGGCTCTCTGAGGAAAGAGACACGAGGTTCAGTGTCCCCAGAGGCCCAGATGTGCTCATCTGGGATATTCCCATTGCCAGGCTGTGTCCATGCTGCCCTCACTGGATCCACTTGGAGAGCTGGTTTTGTCCAGTGGCTATAGGTGGGAGGAAGGAAGATTTTCCATTTTCCACATTTTCCATCCCCACTGCTCAGCCCCTGCCAGGCTGGGAGGGGGCACAGCCGGGCAGTGACAATCTGGGGGCACAATCTTCTGCTCTGTCTGCTTTTATTATTTCTCCACTTCCCTACCTCAGCCCTCAAGTTCTGCTCCCCTTTGGGCTCCCAAATGTGCTGGGATGGGGAGGATGAGAGGGAAGGGCCCCGGGAATACCCAAGCACAGCTGGAGCCCTGCTCGAGGTTGTTCCCAGGGTGAGAGAAGCTGTGAGTCCTTAGCCCAGGTGAGTCCCAGGGAGTCCAGCCGGCTCACAACTCCCATGTTTCTGTGTCCCTCATTCCAGAGCTGCCTGAGGACTGCAGGGGCAGGTGGGAGAGTTTCGTGGAGGAGACGCTGACGGAGACGAACCGGAGGAACACGGTGGATTTGGTGAGCTGGTCACTCCAGTGCCTGCTGGCCTTCCCCTAGCAGAAGAAAGGGATATTCCTGGTTTTTCTCATTTTCCTTTTGCTGAAGAACGCTTCAAGGCAGAGTAGAAAGCATTTCCATAAACATGTTTCATAACAGTCCTTCAGCAGAGCTGATCCATGGTGCTGAGCTGGTCCCTGGGATTCCTTGGGGCAGCTCCTGCCTGGGCAGGACTTTGGGCTTTGGTGGAACTGAAACACTGGAGCTTTTCCAGCTTTCCCTGGTTCCCTGACTGGTTTGTGCTTTCCCAGGTGAGCACCCACCACCTGCACTCCTCCAGCGAGGATGAGGACATTGAAAGTGCTTTTCCCAACGAGCTCACTCTCCAGCAGGTGAGTTGGGAGCACCTTCACTATTCCCAGGAAACTCGCTGCTCTGGTTGCCTTTGGTGCCTCCTGGCGTGGAGCAGCTTCCTGAGCTCTGCTCCCAGTCTGTGTCAGCTCCTCTGGGCTTTCCCAGAGCAGCTCCATGGCCTGGGATCCACCTGGGAGCAGGGCAGGAGGCACCAGGATGGGAATCCCAGAGCTCTGTGTGACCCTGCTCTGGGAAGGGGTCAGAGTGAGGATTTCACACTCTTCCCTGGGATTTTAGAGCTATTTCCGTGCAGCTCCACTGTTTCTGGCATGTCTCTGGACACCCTACTGATGGATTTTTTGGGATCCCTTGCCAGGCCTTCTCTGAGTACCAGATCCAGCAGATGACAGCCAATTTTGTGGATCAGTTTGGCTTCAACGACGAGGAGTTTGCAGACCAGGATGACAACATCAAGTGAGTCTGGGGATGTTTGGTGATGGCACCGAGTGAGTCTGGGGGTGAATGGCATTTCAGCCTCTTTGCATCCCATCCTCCCTCTGCTTCAGGTTTACAAATGAGCCTTGGTATCCCTCCTCAGGTGGTAAACAGCTCCTTGTTTTCCAGGAGCCCAGCCCGATCTCCAGAGCCAGGTGAAGAAGAAGGAAAAGTATTCCTTCATTTCAAAGAGGGATATTTGAAATAAAGCAGGCAGCTGTGGTCCAGCCCTGGTCTGGCCCTGGTCTGGAATGAGTTTAAAGGCAAAGCATGAGAGCAGACTCTGGGCAGTTAAACAGATCTTTTGCAAGGAATTAAATCCTTCTTGGAAGGAGGAGTGAAGGGACAGTGCTCGGATGGAATCCATGGAAAATGCAGCCATTTTCCCCTTCCTGAGGAAGGGAGCAGGGATAATCAGGAGCAGTGGCAGCTCAGGGAGACAGGGAAGGGGATTCAGTGTTACACAACTTGCTGAATCCAGAGCTCAGAACTGGCTGCTTTTACAGAATTCCTTTAATCCCATTAAAGCTGCAGCTCATCCTCTCTCCTTAGAAATGTAGCTGGCACTGGGATTATCCCAGTGGCCATAACAGTCCTAAAATTGGGACCAGATATGGACAGAGCAGTGCTCCAGGGGACCCCAGTGCTCCTGGGTTTGTCTCCATCCCAGGAATTCCTTGGGATCCAAGGCAGCACCCCTGCCCTTCCCGTCCAGGGCTTTTCCTGAGCCTTAGAGATGTCAGAAACTTGATAAGGCCAAAAAGTTCCAGAATAGAATCAGAGTTGAATTGAACAGAAATTATTCAGTTCTACACATAAATATTTCTAAAAATAAAATAAAATAAAATAAAATAAAATAAAATAAAATAAAATAAAATAAAATAAAATAAAATAATAAAATAGACTCCTCACTGCTGGCAAATACAGCCCCACGTGAGTGAGGGGCAGGGAGGAGTTAAATCCTGAGGAGCTGCCCCAGGGGCCTTGTGCCCGTGTAAAACAAACATGAAGCTGGAAAAAGTCTGTGTTTGGGATGCTATGGCCCTGTTTGTGATTGGAAAAGGAGAATGTCCTGCACAACCTGGAATATTCTGGGAGTGGTGCTCCCTGCCAGCTCTTTCCAGCTGTGGACACTGGGCTGGAAGTGAATTGGAATATTTCAGGAGTATCAGTCATGTGTCAGTGTCCCTGGGGTTGCAGGAGTGTTGAACTGGAGAGTCTTTCAAACAAAGTGACACTGGAAAAGCTGCAGATCCATGAGGAGGGAGAGTGAGCTCTTCCTGGATCCAAACTCTGGGAATTGGGAATTTCTGGGCCTGCAGCACCCTCTGCTGTTCCCACCAGGGGCTCCCCTGGCTCGGACTGGGAATTGGGTCATCCTGGGATATTCATATCCTGGGATATTCACAGAACAGCCACACCTCGGGCTTTGGGCCACTCCTGCACTGAGATGCACAGAATCCCAGGATCCCTGAGGTTGGAGAAGCCCTCCCAGCCCATGGAGTCCCAGCTGTGCCCAATGGCCACCTTGTCCCAGCCCAGAGCCCTGAGTGCCACCTCCAGGAACTCCTTGGACACCTCCAGGGATGGGGGCTCCAAAGCTCCCTGGGCAGCCCCTGCCAAGGCCTGACCCCTTTCCATGGGGAAAAGCCAGCCCAGGCTCAGGGATGGCACAGGGACAGGGACTGGGCCCCTCAGCCCGGGCTCCATCCCCAGGAATATCCCTGGGACACCACAATTCCCTCTCACATGACTCAAGGTATTAAATACCAGGATCAATCCCAGGAGCAGCCACCAGAACTGAGCACCCAGCACCACAGAGCTCATCCTATTACTGGGAATTACCTGGTCCTTTAAAAAGGAACTTCACAGGCCCTGGCCAGAATTCCCCCCATGCTGGGCTGACCCACAGGGGAGGGGGGATTCTACTCCTTTGCTCAGGTGAGACCCCACCTGCAAAGCAGCAGCCCCTGGGGTGGAGTCCCAGCTGTGCCCAATGGCCACCTTGTCCCAGCCCAGAGCCCTGAGTGCCACCTCCAGGAACTCCTTGGACACCTCCAGGGATGGGCACTGCAAAGCTCCCTGGGCAGCCCCTGCCAAGGCCTGACCCCTTTCCATGGGGAAATTCCTACTGTGCCCACCCTGAGCTGCCCTGGCTTCCCTCTCCTCCTGTCCCTGTTCCTGGGAGCAGACCCCGACCCCCCGGCTGTCCCCTCCAGGAAGCCCCTCCAGAGCCCCCTGCATGGGCTGGGGGTGTGCTAGGCTGGAATAACCCTCGGTGAGGGGGCACTGTGGGCAGGAGTGGCCCCCAGGAGTGGCTCTGGCTCTGCTGCTGTCCCTCTGGGAAGCTGGGCCCCCCTGAGGCTCTTCCCTCCTCCCTCGCAGCGCTCCCTTCGACCGCATCGCCGAGATCAACTTCAACATCGATGCTGACGACGACAGCGTGAGTGGGGTCTGGGCTGGGGCTGCAGGAAATGCGCCTCTGGAAGGTGCTGCTTGCATTCTGAGAGAGCAGAGGGTGGGGGGTTTGGGCAGTGCAGAGGGGCTGAGAGCCAGGGTGCTGCTCGGCCCCTCAGGGGCTCCTCCCAGGACAGGTTCCCTCTGAGGCAGCACCCCTGGTGCAGAGGGAGTCTTCCTCCCTCCCTGCAGTGCCAGTCTGTTCTTAGAATCAGGGAATCCTGGAATGGTTGGGTGGGAAGGACCTCAGAGTCCCCCCAGTGCCACCCTGCCATGGCAGGGACACTGTCACTGTGCCAGGCTGCTCCAGCCCCAGTGTCCAGCCTGGCCCTGGGCACTGCAGGGATGCAGGGGCAGCCCCAGCTGCTCTGGCAATTCCAGCCCAGCCAGCAATTCCTCATTGCCAATCTCCCATCCATGGCTGCCCTCTGGCACTGGCAGCCATTCCCTGGCTCCTGTCCCTTGTCCCCAGTCCCTCTGCAGCTCTCCTGGAGCCCCTCTGGGCCCTGCCAGGGGCTCTGAGCTCTCCCTGGGTCCTTCTCCTCTCCAGGTGCACACCCCCAGCTCCCACAGTTTTAGATCATCTTTCCAGACACAGATTAGGGAAGCATAGGCAGAGATGGATTTCCCATGGATGCAAACATTGCCAGGCTGTTCCTGGCCTTTCCTGGTTTATTGCCCCAAAGCAAAGCAGCAGCTGGACTGTGGTGATCCCAAGAGGTTGGTCCCAGGTGGTCCCAGGGAGCAAGGCTGGATTTGGTCAGCCCTGAGGCTTGGGCTCAAAGCAGTGTCTGCAGAACACCTCTGTAATGTGGTTTCCCTTTGGCCCTGCAGCCCAACGCCTCCCTGTTCGAGGCCTGCTGCAACGAGCGCATCCAGCAGTTCGACGACAACGAGGAGGAGGAGGATATCTGGGAGGAGAAGGACATCTCCTACGCGACCCAGGTCAAGTCCAGGACACGGTAAGGTGACAGCAGAGCCCTGATTTTCCCCCTGCTGCTGGGAATCTGCACGTTTCCACCCAGCCCAGGAGGAATTCCTTGGGTTTTGTGTCATTTTGGGGCTGTGAGGTTTTATCTGACACAACCCCGAGCCCTTTCCCTGCCACGTGTGCTGAGGGTTCTCCTGAACTGGAGACAGATCCAGTTCTAGGGAATTAAACCTAATTAATGAGACTTCCATCAAACACATTAAAAACCCTCACCCTCAGTGTGAAACACTTGGAATTTGCTCCTTCTCTCATCCTTGGAGAGGAGGAGGAGGAGGAGGTGAGACTGAGGGGAGTGGGCAGAACATTCTTTCTCAGAACATTCAAATCAGAGAAGTGAGAACAAGAGGCCTCCCAGGGGCATCTCAGGCTTTGAAATAATTTTTCATCCCTTTGACAGAGCCACTCATTAAAATAAAGTTATTTCCATAATTCCCAATCTGCAGTGTGATCAAAGGAAACAGGGAAAACATCCAAGACTTCACTGTGTCCTTGCTGAGCATCAAAAGCCTCAGGTCCTGCCCGGGCACAGGGTGGGCTCCACACCAGTGTCTGTCCCCTTGCTGGGCACTGGTTTGTGTGGTGTCCCCAGCCCTGGCTCTGTCCTGCAGCTCCAGGGAATGCTGGCACCAAAGCCCTCGGGAATCCGGGGGAATCTCTCTGAGCACCCACAATTTTCCTGAGCAGCTGGGGGAGATATTCTGGGGGAAACAACCCTGGCAAAGGCTCTGGGCTGTTCCCCAGGGACAGGGAGGAGGAGCTGCGGGGTGCAGGCGTGGCTCATTCCCAGCTCCCGTTCAGGTTTGGAGCGTCACAGACGTCAGAGAGCTCCAAGAGTGACCTGGAGAACGGGGACCACGACGGCAGCGTGGACTCGGAGGAGGAGGAGGAGCGGCCGCCGCCCTCCCCGCACAAGGGCAGCACCCCGGAGCAGAAGGACTCGGACTCCTGCCAAGGTTGGGAGCACATCCCTGGCTCTGCAGGGATCACAGCAGCACTCACACACTGCCAGCTCCCCTGGAGAGTCCCCAGTTCCTCCTGGCCAGGGGAAACGGGAATGCCAGGGCTCGCTTTGTGCCTCTGGAGCCTCTGGAGCCTCTGGAGCCTCTGGAGCTGCAGCCCTGCCCAGAACAGCCCTTGTGGCAGGCAGCCCCACAGGGAGAATCCCAGGAAAGGGTCCCTGCCCAGGGCAGGAGCTGTAAGGTCCCCTCACACCCCAGCCATTCCATGGTTCTGTGGCTCCCTGAATCCCAACTCCTTCAGTGAAAATCCAGTCAAAGCAGCAGTGCAGGGATGTGACCTGAACTCCTCCCATCCCAGGACAGGAGTTGTGTGCCCACCTTTGCCAGCTGTCTCCACACCCTTATTCCTGCCCATTCTCCTGCTTTTCCAGCTGTGTTCTGCCTGTGGCAAACCCATCCCTACAGTGACTGGAGCAGGAGTGCAGAGGGACAGGCTTTTCCTGGGATCCCAGGAATGGGTTTGGGTGGGAAGGGAGCTCAGAACCCCTGCAGTGCCACCCTGCCAGTGCAGGGACACTTCCACTGTGCCAGGCTGCTCCAGCCCCAGTGTCCAGCCTGGCCCTGGGCACTGCCAGGGATGCAGGGGCAGCCCCAGCTGCTCTGGCAATTCCAGCCCAGCCCCTGCTCCCCCTCCCAGGCAGGAATTCCTTCCCAAGATCCCATCTAAACCTGGGGCTGGAAGCCATTCCCTGTGTCCTGTCCCTCCAGGCCCCTGTAAATTGCCTTTTTCCATCTGGTCTGCTCCCTTCAGGGATTTTCCCAACTCCCTTTGTAAATGACACCATGGGAATGCTGGACACACATGGTGCTGTCAGCAGAACAGTTCCAAGGGACAAAAAAATTTCCCAACCATCCATTTTTCCATGCTTTTTGAGTTTTATACCATTTTTTTCTCTGGGTGCTGCCTTTGTGTTGTCACTGTGAGCACCAGGCAGGGTTACCCCAGGATTCCTCTGCACCCCTTTGGAGGTGTCAGATAATTCCAGTCCATTGGGAAGAACCAGTATGAAGCTCCCAGTCCCAGTATGAACCTCCCAGTCCTAGGGGGCTCTGAGTGGCAGCCCAGTCACCCTCTGGAGACTCAGCTGGAATTTGGGATCAGTTTTGGAGATGCAGCCCTGGGGGGCCTCTCTTGCCTGGTTCTGTCCCTGCAGAGCTCTGCAATCCTCCCTCTTCCCTGGGAAAAGCTAAGGAAAAATGCTCTTCCAAAAGTGGGATTTGTAGGACTGGAAGTAGGAAATGGGACTAGAAATGGAAGTAAATTCTGGAGTCCGGGACTGTGAAAAAAAGCAATGGGTGATTTTTAGGATCTTAAATACTGGAATCCATTGATCAGTTCTTGCCTGAAACCCAACCATTGGAGATGGAGATGGGAGCTTTTGGCAGGGAACTGAGGGACTGGGAGCTGGGAATCACTGGCTTGGGGGGTGAAGCACCCACGGTGTCATTTGTCTCCATGGATGCCTCTCCTGGGGATAAACATCTGCAGGGGGATTTCTGTGGGACACAGGCGGGGGTGGAAGGGGGGCCTGGGCTGGGTTGCTGTGTGACTGGGGTCCCTGGGATGTTCCTGGGATGGGTTGGGATGTCTCTGGGATCCCAGGGGTGTTCCTGGGCCGGGTTGCTGTGCCCCTGGGATCCCTGAGATGTTCCTGGACAGTGTTGGGATGTCCCTGGGATCCCTGGGATGTCCCTGGGCTGGGTTGCTGTGTCCCTGGGATCCCAGGGGTGTTCCTGGGCCAGGTTTCTGTGCTCCTGGGATCCTTGGGATGTCCCTGGACTGGATTGCTGTGTCTCTGGGATGTCCCTGGGATCCCAGGAGTGTTCCTGGGCCAGGTTGCTGTGTCCCTGGGGTCCCTGGATATTCCTGGGCTGTGTTGGGATGTCCCTGGACCGGGTTGCTGTGCCCCAGGTCTGTCCCTGGGGTGCTCCTGGCCGGGTTGCTGTGCCCCTGGGATCCCTGGGATGTCCCTGGACCGGGTTGCTGTGTGTCTGGGGTCCCTGGGATATCCCTGTGCCAGGTTGCTGTGCCCCAGGTCTGTCCCTGGGATGTCCCTGGGCCGGGTTGCTGTGCCCCCGGCCTGTCTCTGGGGTGCTCCTGGCCGGCTGGGGCTGGGCTGGCACCCAGGCTGTGGTGTCCCCAGGGGCTGGCTGGACGGCCGTGTTCGAGCCCGCGGGCCCCAAGCCGCCCGTGGCCATGGACGTGGGCTCCAGCGTGTGGGACTCGGCCGCCCCGCAGAGCAGCGCCCCGGAGGAGAAGGGCTGGGCCAAGTTCACAGACTTCCAGCCTTTCTGCTGGTAAGAGCCACGGAACTCCAGCTCCCCTGGGGCTTGGGAACCGGGGAATGCTTGGGATGTGTTCTGATAGAGTGCCTGGCTGTAATCCTGTCTTCTTCCCATGGCTTCCCTTTTGTTGTTTAATACTGTCTGATGATGTGGATCAGGGCTCCTTTGTGCTTCCTGCTGCTTCCCAGTGCTCCTGACTGGGGTGGGACACAGAAAACCAGGAAATTTAGATAAATTCACAGTAGTGATGGGAAGGAAGAGCCGGGCTGGTGACTGCTCCTGGGGTGCTGGGAAGCTCTGGGCTGGTCCTGGCTCCGTGCTCAGGGCTCTTCCCTCCCCAGCTCCGAGTCCAACCCTCGCTGCAGCTCCCCCGTGGGCACCGAGAGCGGTGGCACCGACGGGACCCCGGCGCAGGGCCAGGACAAGAACTGTGAGTGACACGGGGCCACACGGGGTGCCCTCAGCCCCTGGGAACTCTGCATGGAGCACCTGGGGCAGGAGAAAGCTCCCTGCAGGGCCCCTGCCCTCAGCGTTCCCTGCGGGATCAGAGAGCGAAACAACGGCAGAGATCCCGAGGCTTTGTTGGGACAGTGTCAGCAGGGAAGGGATGGAGCTGATACCACAGGGACCCTTCATTTATCCCTGGAAATGTCCCAGGCCGGGCTGGACGGGGCTGGGAGCACTGTGGGACAGTGGCAGGTGTCCCCACCCACGGTGGCACTGGGTGGGCTTTGAGATCCTTCCCACCCACCCCATCCCATGACTCCCAGACCAGCTGCAGTGGCTGCAGGCCCTGTTTGACCCCTCAGGCCGGGGCAGGGAGCTTTCCTGAGGTTGCAGTGTGGGTGTTCCTCCCGCAGCCAGCACTGCTGCCTCTCCCTGTGTGTGGAACGCGTGTGGGACACGGAAGGCGCCGCTGGTGGCCTTGGACAGCAGCTCCTCGGGCAGCTCCGAGAGCGACGACGACGACGACGACAAGGCCAAGGCTGCCACGGAATCCACGGCACAGGAGCCCAGCAAGGACAGGGCAGCTCCCTCCAGGTGGGAAGGGATCTCCGTGGGCTGGGGTGGCCCCGCGTGGTTCCAGTGTCCCCTCTCTGTGGGCTCCGTGTCCCCTGGGAGCCTGGCACGGGGGGGCTGAGGGACATATTTAGCACAGGGTTATTCCAGAGAAGGGTTGGGCTCCTTTGGGCCACTCCAGTGTCACAGGAGCATCTCTGTCCATGATCTGGGATTGGACCCGGGGCAGGATCCAGGTGGGATCGCTCAGAAAAGCAGAGTAAAGGCTCCTGCAGCCATGGGGAGAGGTTTAACCCACTCAGGTTCTCATTGATAAAAGCACGAGGAAAGGCTGGAGCAGATCCAGGGACTGGGCAGGTTTGTAGGAATTGGATCCTCAATCCAGCCTGCTCCAATCATGGGGCATGAACTGCTGCCCAGCCCAGTCAGCACCTGCTGCATTCACAGAGATTTTACCCAGTTCCAAGATTCTGAGGTTTTTCCTCAAACTCTGCCATGGATTTCCTTGTGTTTTTCACCTGAGTCCCTGGGTTTGTGCACCTGACTCAGGATCAGGAGTTTCCTTCAGCAATGCTTGGTGACAGTTTGGGGTCATCCCTGGGTATGCTCAGCCAGCAGCAGCTCCTGGGGGCCCGGGGGGCTGGGAAAGCACTGGGATTGCAGAATTCCCTGGAATTAGGGCAGGAGTTATCCCAGGGTCTGTTGGGTTGGAAGCAGCTCATTCTGAGAAATGCATTAATTCTGATAATTGCATTAATTCTAATAAGTGCAGTTGATTTTGATAAATGCATTAATTCTGATAAATGCAGTTAATTTGGATAAATGCATTCATTTTGATAAACACAGTTAATTTTGATACATTTCAGTTTGATAAATGCATTCGTTCCGATAAATGCATTAATTCTGATAATTGCACTCTGTGCTTGGGTATGGCCTGGCTGTGGCTTGGTGGGAAGCAGAGGGTGAGCAGTTCCAGCCGTGCTGAAAGCAGCCTCTCCTTCTCTTGGGTTGTCCTTTGGATCTGATCCCAGCTGTGCTCCAGGTGCTTCTCCTCCCCTGGCCCGTGGTGTGGGCACAGCAGGACCTTGCCTGGGCTGGCTGGGTTCCCACAGGATCAGGGAATGTGCTGAGCAGGGCTCACAGGGTCGTTGGTCCAGCTGCCCAGGACAGCCCAACAGTCCCAGAGTTCCTGGGGCTCTGGAGCCGTGCCCATTCCCTGGGGAGCTGCTCCAGTGCCAGCACCCTCTGGAGGAAGAGCCTTCCCTGGTACCCACCGAACCTCCCCAGCCCAGCTCCAGCTGTTCCTGTGTCCATCCTCTAGGAGATGTTCTCACCTCTTCCCTGCTTTCCTGGCAGGAGGGAAGTGTTTGTTCCTGGTTTGGCACACTGGGAATGTTTTCCTCTCCAGACAAGTGTCTGTCCACATTCCAGAGGGATAAAGCTTCCCGAACCTGCCTGCCTTTGCCTGCCTGCCTTCTCCAGAGCTGATTCCATTGTGCCAGAGAGCACCCGTGGCCTCCCCTGACACCTCCCATGGTGTCTGTGGCTCTCCACAGCTGTGTCCTTGGCCAGAGGTCCCAGGGAAAGCTGTGGGAGGACAGGGGCAGTGCCACAGCTGGGACTGGAGCTGCTCCAGGCCTGGGCTCCCAGTGGGAATCACCTCCCAGAGCCTTCCCAGTGGCCTCAGCTCTCCCAGACCACTCAGCCTGCAGTGGGAATATCCATTTGTTACCCTTCCTTAGTGATTCCAGGGAAATCAGGAACATTTGGAGTCACTCTGTGGGTTGTGATTCTCTCCAAGCACTTCCCCAAAACCTGCACCAGACCCCATTCCTGTTGTGTAGGAGCAGTTTTCCCATCCCCTTGTGCCCCTGGAATAACTGGAATCCACAGGGATCTCTAATTCTCCTTGGAGCTGCTCAGGGACTCAGGGTTTCCTTCCCCTTGTCCCTGGAATCCACGTTGGAGGTTTTTTATCTTTGGAGCTGCCCAAGGCCTCTGTGGATTCTGTGGAGAACCAGATGTTGCAGCCCAGTAAATCCTCCAGATGTTCCACCCTCTGTGAGCCCCATCCCAGCTGCCCGGGGGGATCCTTAGGGAGCTGCAGCTCAGGAATTGCTCTGTTTCCCAGTTTGGATCCCGCTGCCCAGGGAGGTTTGGGGTCCCACCCCTGGAGTGTCCAGGGGACAAAGGACATCCCACACAAAGTCCTGTTTGGGTTGTGTCACCCTGGGTCTGGCCCTGAGTGTCCAGCTGGGATTTTCCAGGAGCCCGGGGAAGGCAGAGAAAGTCCCAAGCCCCCATGGGTGCTCAGGTACCTCTGGAATCCTCCTGCCCTGGAAACTCCAGGGACTGGGCTTCAGAAGTTTTTCTTAGGGCCATGGAAATGTCGAGCTCCAGTTTTTTGTGTGGGAAGTGTTTTTTTCCAGCGACGTTCCTGGGAGCGCAGCTCCATCCCCGTGTCTCTCCAAGGTGTATTTTGGTACTTCTGAGGAGCTTGTGAGCCCTGGAGGAAAGGGAGTGTTTGGATATCATTATTCCTCATTTTCATGGTTTTTTTCAAGAGAAGTGCTCCAGAAATAGAACCTCAGTCTCCAATCTCCATCACATGTCCAATTATCCAGCTGGGATTATTTTATTCCATAAACTCCCCCGGAGCCTGTGACAGGATTCCAGCTCAGCCATCTCCAGCTTTCCTCCCTTTTGTGGAGGTTTGCTCTGGGAGAGAGGGAGAAAAAATTGTTCTGGATGGAAACTGGGAAGAAAACATTCCTGGGGCAGTTCATCCTCTGCCTTGGAAGCCAAAAAATGGGATGTGCACAGAAATCCCTCCTCCAGTTGGAAATCTGGGTGGGTTTATTACAAAGAAGAGATTGGGAGGGTTTGTTCCTGCAGTTCTCCTTTCCCAGGATTTGAGTTGAGGTTGTTGGTGCCTCACTGGGGATGTTGTCCCTCAGGAGGCACCTCCATGGTCCCTGGAATGCCTTTAGCATGTTTGGATTCTGGACATCCCATCCCTGGGGGTTTTCCTGCATGGGATTTTAGGATCTGCCCTAAACCCAGGATTTCCTGGGTGTCCCAGAAGCCTGAGGAGCCCCTTGGGCAGAGGCTGTGGAGCAGAGCAGTGTCTGTGTCCGTGCTGGAGCCGAGCAGGCTGTGCCACCCCAGCAGTGGCAGTGGGAATGGTGCTTTGGGAGCTCTCAGACTGGATCTGCAGCAGGAGTTGGGAATGCCTCCCTCGAGGAGCTGTTCTGGTGTGTCCTGTTGGGTTTGGAGCCCTCAGGATGTGCGTGCTGATTTGGATCCCAGCTTATGCCAGTGCTCATTCCCGATGGGATCTTCAGGCCTGTGTGAGGAGAGCAGGAGGAGTTCTGTTTGCCCCATTGGAACTGGAGCCCCATTGCAGCGTGGGTCTGCCTTTCCCCTGGGCTGAGCTCCCCTAACGTGTCCCTGCCCTGTCCCCAGTGGCTCTGATGGAAAGGCTCTGGAGACGCTGCCCGCGGCCGACGCCGGGACGGCCGCAGCCACCCGCGGAGCCCGGAGCAGCGCGGCCACGCACACGGACGGGCACCAGAGAGGGGCCTCTGCTGTCACAGCTGCCACAGACACGGCCACGAGAGACAGGTGAGGGCAGAATCCTGCCGTGGCTGGGGGGGAGGGAGCTCAGAGCCCCTGCAGTGCCACCCTGCCATGGCAGGGACACCTGCCACTGTGCCAGGCTGCTCCAGCCCCAGTGTCCAGCCTGGCCCTGGGCACTGCAGGGATGCAGGGGCAGCCCCAGCTGCTCTGGCAATTCCAGCCCAGCCAGCAATTCCTCATTGCCAATCTCCCATCCATGGCTGCCCTCTGGCAGTGGGAGCCATTCCCTGGCTCCTGTCCCTTGTCCCCAGTCCCTCTGCAGCTCTCCTGGAGCCCCTCTGGGCCCTGCCAGGGGCTCTGAGCTCTCCCTCGCTGAACATCCCTATCTCTCAGCCTCATGTTAGAGATGCCCCATCCCTCTGATCACCTTGGCAGGGGTTGGAACTAAATAGCTTTTAGGTCCCTTCCCACCCAGGCCATTCCCTGATTCCACGTTGATTTTCCCTGTAAATGTTCCACGAGGCACTGGGGCAGTTCCACAGGAGCTGAGAACTCTTCACTGGGCAGACAGAACACATCCAGAGGGCAGACTCAGGTCCCAGCAGAAAGGCGTTCCCAGGAGGGAGGAGGGAAGCTTTGGGAGCTTTCCCTGCATGTCCCGTCCCTAAGGCTGCTCCCTGGTGTCCCTGCAGGAGTGAGGAGGCCTTGCCCTGCGCCGAAGCCACGTTGAACGGCCCCGCTTGATGCCGCCGCCGCCCTGGGACGTGTGTGAGCCAGGCCAGGCTGCTCCCTGGTGATGCAATTTGTCAATTCTTTATTATTTTTTTTCATTTTAATTTTATTTTTTAATAAATGCTGCATTGATGAGAGCGAGCTGGCGTTCAGGACCAGACACGCAGATCCAACAGCACCGATCCGTTCGGAAAGACACTCGGCATTGTCGAAATGTAGCATTGAGTTCAGTCCTCACGGGAATGACGGGCTCTTCCCAAGCCTTCTGCCTGATTTGAGTTGTCCCCTTCCCCGTGCCCCTGGTTTTGTTTTGGATTTGGGGTTCAGTGCTGTTTTCCCAGTGTTATTGCACACAGTATTCAGCTTCTCTTGGGAAGGTAGCAGGTCCAGCGGCGGCCGGGGCCAGCGCACAAATCCCGCAGCCGTGTGACCAAAGTTCCTGATGGAGCTGTCCTCGGGCAGCCTTTGCACCGCTTTGTAGAGCAATAAAGCCTTACCAGAAACATTTCACAGGAGAGGAGGAATGCCAACGCTTCCGTGGGGGAGCAGGGAGGGCTGGATGGGGCTGGCAGGGCCGAGGCCAGCAGTGATGCTGGGGCCCAGCTGTCCAGAACGGGATGGCCCTGCCCTGCAGCCCTGCCCTGGGCTCTCCATGGACACGTGCTGGGCCAGGGCAGGGGCTGGGCTGGCTCTGGGCTGGCCTCTGCCGATGTCCGTGCTGGCCCCAGGGGACCCTGCCCACGGGGAGGTGACAGGGTTTTGCTGGCTCTTTGGAGACTGAATTAATGTATTTGCAAATGATGATGGAAATCCTTTTTCTGTTTGTTTTGTTCTGTTTTTAAAGTTTTTAATGGATGCAGGAACAGCAACACTTTTGCACTTTGTACCTGGTGATGACAGCGTTGGGGGAGGGCATGGGAGAGCCCTGGGGGACATCCAGATCCCTCAGGGGGGATGGGGGAGCAGGGCCAGGTGAGGGGAGCACCTGGAGCTGGGATGTGGGATGTGGGATATGGGATGTGGGATGTGGGATGTGCCCAGGCTGGAGCCCTGCTCCTGGGAATGCCGTGCTGGTGCCAGGCTCTGAGCTCACTGCCAGCCCAGCCTGGGGGGCATACGAGGGGCACTGGGGGTTTGGGCCACCTGGGGCAGCTGAGCTGGAACCCCCGGGATGTGGAATCCTGAAAAATCCTCCCTTTGGAGCAAAGGCTGGAGCTCGGCACCCAGGGAGCCAGACCTGCTTTGGGGTGCATTCCTGAGGGTGGGAAGCACCTCACGTCCCCGGCAGGGCAGCCTGGCTGCCCAGAAATCAGAAATCCCTTCCTTGTGCCGTGGTGTCTGCCATGGCATGTCCTGGCTGGGCTGGGAGGGCCCTGAGGGGAGCCAGGCGTTCCCACTGGGGCTGTGGGCCCCTCATGTGCTGCTGCCCCCAGTCCTTGGGAATCAGGTGGTGCAGGGCTCTTGTTCTGGAAGTTTTCACTCGCTGAATTAATTATTAAATTAATAATTTAAAGTTAATTGCACTGGGAGGGAAAAAAAAAATCTCACTTTGTGCTTTGCTTCCCCTGCTTGGTGTTCAGGGATCAATCCCCCTCCAGCAGGACTCTCAGACAGGATCAGTGGCTTTGAGGTCCTGGCTGGAGACACATTAAAGTCTTAATTTTCCAAGGGTTGGTGCTAGAGTTCTGCTGTACATAGGGCATTCTGGGGCCCAGAGCTGATCCCATGGAAGCTGAAGGTCCATGTGCTGGTGCAGCCTGGCTGGATCCCAGGGGATGCCAGGGTGCTCTTCCAGCCTGTCCCCTGCTGCCCCCAGATCCGTGTGGGGTCGGGGGCTGAGGGGAATGTCCTCGCAGGCCTGGGGGACAGGACAGGGCCTCCACCCCCAGCTGCTGAGTGTGGGAGCAGTGGTTCCCCCTGGACAGGCTGGGGCAGCAGTGACCCACAGTGGCTCCAGAGATGGGGCTGGCTGTGCCTTCTGCTGCAGTTCCAGCCTGGCGTTCCTCAGCTCTGGCTTTGAGTCCCTGTGTCAGTGAGAGCTTTATTAATAATAATTATATAATAATAATGATTATAATAATAATAATATCCTTGGGCATATCCAGATCTGAACACAGCTCGTTAGTGGGTTAATTTATTACTCAGTGCTGAGACACATCACTGGGGCTTGGTCAGGCCTGTGGAGATGCACAAATTCCATGGGTTTGGTGCCTGTGGGTGATCCCTGCAGGGCTGGGGTTGAGGCTCTCAGTTCATTCCAGCTCTCCCCTCCCCTGGGGTTGTTCTTCCCTCCAGCCCCAGCTCCTGCTGCTTGGGCTGCCGGGGTCTGCAGCTCTGAACAGAGCCAGAGCCACTTCTGGCCTGGCCCCAGTGGTTTTGTGGGGAAAGCAGGAATGGGAAATCCTTCTAAGGCAGAGCTTCCCGTCTCTCCAGAGACACAGTGGGTGTGAGGGCTTGGAGTGTCCCTCCTGGGGTTTTCAATCTCCCTGTGCTCTGGGGAAGGGCTTCTAGGGCTGGAGCAGCATCTCGTGGCTGCTGAGGATGGAATTCCCTGTGTCCCCTGATCCCCTGGGCTCTGTGTCCAGGTGATGAAGGCTCCCCCCAGGTGCTGCTCCACACTTCCCTCCTGCCTCGTGTTGGAATCTCCCAAAGCACAGGGAGATTCCCAGCCCCAGCCTGTGGGGCTGGGCACAGATCTGTCATGCAGGGCCATCCACCCACACACCTGGCTCTCCTGAGAAACCTGGGAACAGGCCCCTGGGAGCACCAGGAGCTGGGCTTCATCTCCAGGGTCAGGAGCAGAAGCAGCAAGGGCAGGTTCCTGGGGGATGGTTCTGGAATGTTCCAGTGGCTCTGCCTGCCTGGGCATCGCTCCAGGGATCTGGTGATGCCACTGTGCCAACTGCCCCACACTGGGAGGGGAGGGGGCTCCTGGGCACAGCCAGGGCTAAACCCATCCCCTTGGCCAGTCCCAGGTGATTCCTGGGGGGATGTGGGAGGAACAGCTTCGTGGGGATGGGAACCCCGTGGTGCTGGGAGTGTCCCCATCCCTGTCACATCGGGAGGGGGCAGAGCTGGGGGCTGGGGATCCCAAACCCCCGTGGGTGTGGGGCTGTGATCCCACAGTGATGGCACTGAGCATTCCTGGGGCTCAGGCTGGGGGGCTCTGTGCCCCCTCAGCCCAGGGGCAGCCAGAGCCGTGTCCAGAGTTCCCTGCATGTCCCAGGGGGAGATTTCTTCCCACTGCACCCTGCACCCTGGAAGGGCAGCCAGCAGGGAATATTCTGCTCATTCCCTCAGCAACTCCACAGCCAAAAACGTCTCTAAAACAGAATTCCCTCTCTTCTTGTGGCAGGCAAAATCCCGGGTGTTTGTTGGGGTCCTGTGTCCTCAGCAAAGCCCAAGGGAAATTCCCCAAGTGCCCCAAGGCTTTGCTGTCCCTGGGATGGAATCCCAAGGTTTCATCAAGAACATCTCTTTGGAGAGCTGCAGATGGGCAGGGAATGGAAACCCTGGGGGGCATAGATTTGAAAAAAAAAAAGAAAAAAGAAAAAAATACAAAAAAAAAACCCAAAAGCCCTGTGCTGCCCTCAGTGTGTCTGTTCCAAAGGGTTTGGGCATCCCAGTTCCCAGACCTCCCAGTGAAAGGTCTGGAGTGAGGTGCAGGGTCATTCCTAAAGAACATATCTGAAGGAAATACCATTGAAATTCCTTTCTTGTTCTCCAGTGGCATCCCAGAGTCACTTTCCCACACTGGCCAGGGAGCTGCCATTAAAGTCCTGATTTATCAGTGGCAGTCCTTGGAGTACATCCCTGTGCCAGCCTTGAAATCCCAACCCCTCAGGGATCCCTCTTATCCTGAGGGCCCTTTCTGCCCCACTGGGAATTGATCTGTTGGAAAAAACAGAATTGATTGGAAAAAGCAGAATTGATCTATCAGGAAAACTGGAGCGTGGTGCTTAGTGAAGGGTTCAAGGTGTATCTGAGGTGTGTCCAGGGTGTGTCCAGGATGTATCCCGTGTCTGTCCTGGGTGTGTCCTGGGTGTATCTGGGGTGTATCTGAGGTGTATCTGAGGTGTGTCCAGGGTGTGTCCAGGATGTATCCCGTGTGTGTCCTGGGTGTATCCTGGGTGTATCTGGGGTGTATCTGAGGTGTATCTGGGGTGTGTCCAGGGTGTATCCAAGCTGTACCTGTCTTCCCGCTGTCATGTCAGTCATGGACTGGCTCTGAACTGGTTTAAACTGGGGCTCACTGGGCTCGGTGCTGCCCTGAGAGAATTCCTGGTCCCCTCCTCGCCAGCCACAGCTGCACGTGTTGGGACTGGGGGCTCCTCCTGCCATTCCCCATTCCTGCTCTCCTGGCTCTGTGTCACCTTTGGGAAGCTGTTCCTGCCATGGCACATTCCCCATCCCTGCCATGGCACATTCCCCATCCCTGCCGTGGCACATTCCCCATCCCTGCCATGGCACATTCCCCATCCCTGCTCTCCTGGCTCCATCCTGTGCCACTTCCCTTGCTCTCCTCAGGGACAGGGATGTGCACCCTGCAGTGCTGGCCGTGTCCTCAGGGAAGGGCTGGGGCTGCTCAGCCCTGCCCTGGAGTGGCCTGGGCTGTGCTGCTGTGGTGTATCCCTGCTGCAGGGGTTTCCTTGTGGCTGTTCTCCCTTCCCCTCCTTATCGGGATTTTTCCCTTTGCTCTGCTGAGATTGGATTTGGGATTTTTGGTGTTACCGGTGCGGAATCGGCTCTGAAATTCAGCAGTGGTAATGAATGATTAGTGAGTAATTACCTGTGTTAGTAATTGACATGTGGCAGTGGCAGGAATGGTGCCCTTGAAGCACCAGCTCCAGCATTCCGTCAGTGGAAGTCTGAGATCCTTTGGGAGGTGGGCTGGATCAGTTCCCGTTGGTTCCCTCCTGGATAACATTTCTGACCTTGTCAGGAATGCTGTTGGGCTTGGGCTGAGAATGGGATTTTTGGTCCTGGTCTTTCCCTCCTTGGTGGGAAGTTCCAGCAAACCCAGGAGTTTTCCAGGTGTATTTAGGGCTGAACTTGGGACAAACAAATGGAAAAGGAACAATTTGGCTCCTCCCCGGTGGCTTTGCTCACCTGAACCTCTCTTACCTCATCCAGGAAGGGTTTTGTGCTGTCCCAGCTCCCACCTGGATTTGTACAGAATTCCCAGTATTCCCTGGTAGTCCTCACCTCTCCCAGCAGTGGGATATTCCCATGGAAACTGTATTTTTGTATTTGATGCTGATGGGAAGAGAGGGCTTTTCCTCTCTCCCTGAATTCGGGGCTTTTCTGGAAGGCAGAGCCTTCCCTTCTATTTTTGATCCCCTCAAATTCCTTGGACAGATGGAAACAAGGAAAAAATCCTTTCTCCTGTAATTTTGATGCCCAGGGGTAGCTTTGCAGAGCTCTGTAGGAATTGTGGGAATGCTGTAGGGATTCCCCTGTGGGGTGGCTTTGGTGCTTTTGGCAGTGAGGGCACTGCTGGAGGATCCCTTGGCTGGATCTCATGGATCCAAACATGAGGATCCACAGGCACAGCAAACGTTCTTCTCTCCATGGAAATGCTTCTCCCACTCCTCTTTCCCAAACTGCTGCTGCTGGAGAGCCTCGAGTGCCCCTGGGGTCCTGGGATTGCCACAGGGAATTCTGGCTGCTCCACTCCTGACCCCGAGCTGGGCCTGGAGTTCCCTGGTTCCGTGGTCCTTGTGTGCCTTCCGTGTCCTCCTAGGAATTCCTGGAGTCCATCTCGGGTCCTTGGGCTCATCCCTTGGTCCTTGCTGTTCCCTGCTCCTCACATCTGTTCCATGGTCCTTGAGGCTGTTCCCTGGCCCTCATGCATTCCCTGATCCTTGCAGTTAATCCCTGCTCTCTGCAGCCATTCCCTGCTCCTCAGTCCCTGTTCCCACTCCTGGCAGTGACTTTGCACGGACACTTCAGCCCTTTCCCTGCTCCTCTCTGTGGTCCCAGGAATGTTCAAACTCCAATTTGCGTCTGATTGGCCAGGGCAGAATCTGGAAAAGTGGGGAAAATCCCAGACCCTTCCCTTCCCTTCCCTTCCCTTCCCTTGGATCCTGTTAATTTGCAGTTAATTCCCATGTATTCATCACATCCCTGCAATTCCCATCCCTGCTCCTCCCCTCCCTGCAGACCTGCAGCTTTCCCAAAAAGGTTTTTGTCCCTCAGACACTTCCAGCTCTGAGGCCCCTTGGATGCAGGAGCTGTTCCAGGGCACAGCACTGACCACGCTGGTGGCTCCACAGGAATCCAGAGCCTTGGATTGAGTGTGGCAGGAGCCCCCTGTTCCATCCCAGCCTGGATCCAGTCCTGTCCATCCCACATCATGGCAAGCAGGAGGTGCTGTGCCCAAGCCCATGGATAACAGTCATTCCCACTTCCCACTGGATACCAATTCCCAGTTCCCATTGTTCTGGGTGCCTTAAATCCATCCTGATTCCAGCAATGGATTTCTGTTCCCTGTGCTCTTCCCCCTACTCCTCACAGCTCCTTATCCCACTTGGTGCATCCCAGTGTCCCACTTAGTGCATCCCAGTTCACCCATCCCAGTATCCCAGTTAGTGCATCCCAGTTCACCCATCCCAGTATCCCAGTTAGTGCATCCCAGTGCACCCAGTGTCCCAGCTCATCCCAGTAACCCAGTCTCCCATCCCAGTGTCCCAGTTCATCCCAGTTAATCCCAGCTCACCCATCCCAGTGTCCCAGCTCACCCGTCCCAGTGTCCCAGCTCATCCCAGTAACCCAGTCTCCCATCCCAGTGTCCCAGCTCATCCCAGTTGGTCCCAGCTCACCCATCGCGGTGTCCCCAGGAGCTCCGGGCAGAGCCGGATGGGATTTGGTCTCGGGAGGCCCCAGGGCCCTTCCCTGCCCGTGCCCTGGGCTGGGATGTGAGGATGCTGCTTGGGAATGGGGCCTGCCAGAATTCCCCGGAGCAGAAGGAAAAGTCCTTTGGGAATGCTCAGCTCGGGGTCCTGTGGGGCCGTGCAGGGAGAAGCTGGTCCTTCCCCAGGGCACACTGGGGACAGTGGGATCCCCTCCTTCCCCAGGGGACAGTGGGGACAGGGGGATCCCCTCCTTCCCCAGGGCACACTGGGGACAGCGGGATCCCCTCCTTCCCCAGGGGACAGTGGGATCCCCTCCTTTCCCTGGGGACAGTGGGATCCCCTCCTTTCCCAGGGGACAGTGGGGATCCCGTGGCAGTGGGGCTGTGGGACATGGACAGGAATTCTGTGTCCATTTCCTGTCTGCTCCAGTGGGATCCCAGACTCCAGCCTGGGCATCGCAGCTGTCTCCAAGTAGGACAGAAACTGGCCTAAAAGCACCAGAAAGAAAGGATTATTCCTGGTTTTCTCATGGAATGGAATTAGTGTTTAATCCCAAATATTTTATTATTTAATGGAATTTAAATGAAAACTTCCCAGGCCTGTAAATATTCTCCCCCTTGGAATATAAACATTCCCCTGCTGGGTCTGGGGTTTGTGGAATGGAGAGGGATTTTCTGCCAGACAGTCCCAGTGAATTCCCTGGTGAGCTTTTCCCTCTTAAAATTGTCCTCCTGTCCCCTGGCAGCCGACAGTGGCAACACCAGGAATGCTCCAGCCTCCCGAGTGAAGGGGACAGGGCTGGGATCCAGCCTTGAGCCTGGACCTGGGCACCAGGGAGGGCTGGAATTAGGAATTCCCTGGGCTGGGCTGGGGTTTCCCTGGCTGGGATCCCCCTGTTCCTGTTTGGGATCAAAGGACGCGCGGTGGGTCCCAGATTTCTGGATTTCTGGATTTCTAGCTGATTTATAACAGGAGCTGCCCCCACCCCATTCCCAGGGGAGCCGGAGCCTTTCCTGTGGGTTTGGCTGAGGCTGTGACTCGAGGGCTGGACCGTGAGACTGATGAGGAGAGACCTTGGCATGAAAATCCTTGGGATTTCAGGGAAGGAGGTGGTTGGTTTCTCCCCCAGCCTTGGGGACAGGCAGGAGCACTCCCGAGGGGATGTACCCATGGAGTGAGGGCAGAGGGGACACTGGGGACAGGCAGGAGCATCCTGGCAGTGGCAGCAGGAGCTCCCCACGCTCCCATTCCCAGCGTTTGCTGTAAATAGGGAATATTTATAAAAAATTATTGCAGAGATTTCTAAACTCACCCCAATCCCGTTTTTCCCAGAGCTTTTGGCTTTGCTGGGATCTCCTGGAGCAGGAGATTTGCACCTTCCCAATGGGCTCCGGCGTCAGTTCAAATCAATCCAGTCCCAGTCCCAGTCCCAGGTGCTGGGCAGGGCTGGGAATTCCAGGGCTCCCAGGGCTGAGAATGGAGCGAGCCCTTCCCTCCATTTTATCCCTGTTCCATTTTCTCCGGGCGGGAGAGGCTGTTCCAGGCTGGAGCCCTCCCAGGGGGTCCCTGGCTCTCCGAGGCCGTGGATTTTCCCTTTTCCTTGTTTCTGTCTTTGCCTTCCATGTCTGACCCGGCTGCAGTGGCAGTTGAGGGGAATTTGGGTGGAAATGTGGAGTTTTCCAGGCATTCTCCTCGATGTGACATTTTCCAAACCTTTCCTTTCTCCCTGCTGAGTCCCGGGGTCCGCGTGGCCGGGGGGTGATCCCAGCTGGCACATCCCGGTCCCCCGGGGTTCCTGGTGGCTTTCCCTGGTGAATTTGCTCCGGCAAATCCCTCCTTGGCTCCGCTTTCCCGCCCGGCTCCTCCGTCCATCCGTGTTCCACGTTTGCTGCTGAGCTGGAGCCTCTGGAGCCTCTTTTCCAGGGCTTTTCCAGCCCGTGCAGGGCTCGCTGGGAGCGTTCGGCTCTGTGACTGTTAGCACAAACCATGGATTCATCCCCGGTGCCGCCTCCGGCCCCAGAGCCCCAGGCTGCTCTAAAAGTGACCCAGGCCAGGCTCTTTGTTGGGAATAACTCCGGATCTCCAGGAGAGCAGGAGGCTCTGGGACCACAGGGCTGCCTGGGGCTGGCAGGGCCATCCTGGCGTCTCCTGAGGGAGTGGATTCCGCCCGGGATCCCTGGCCATCCCGGGATCCCTGCCCATCCCAGGGCTCCGTGCCCATCTGGGGCTCTGTGCCCATCCCGGGGGCTCCGTGCCCATCCCAGGCCCTGCCTGGCTCTTAGCCTTGGCTCATTATGGGAGAAGGCCTTGGGAATGGCACCTCTGCCATCCCCACGTCCCGGCTGAGGCAGAGCTCATTCCAGGCTGTGGGATGGGAGCTGGAGCCTTCCCTGGGCACAGGAGATCCCATGAATCCACCAGCCCGGGCGGGGGAGGCGCTGCTGCCGTTGTTGGGGGGGTTCATGGCTTTGGGAAGGTGCAGGGGGTCCCCAGCCCGAGCCCGGATTTCCAGCGTCGCTCTGCTCCTCCCTCTTCCCAAACCCTGCCGTGCTGTCCCCAGCTGAGTCTCTCTGGAAATCTGCGCTGGCACCGGGGACATCCCCGACTCCCTGGGCAGTCCCAGGGGGGATGGGGCTGTCCCGGCGGGGGGGACTCGATGCCTTTCTCCACATCCACCGGCCCCGCAAAGCAATAAAACCACGGAGGGGCCGCGGGGAGACCCCGGGATGCGCTCCCGGCGCCGGGCACTGCCAGGGGAGCCTTCTCACGATGCCAACTGCCCTTAAACTGGGATTCGGGTCTTTGTAAGCAATGTCTGTGTATTATGTGTAAATATGAGGGACAAATTTGAAATTACTGCCTTTTCCCTGTTTATTTTTCTGAGTAATTCCAGATGTACTTTAGTCTCTCTACTGTCAAAACTTTTATATTGTAAATCTGATGCTGGTGGCTTTTTTGGTTCTTTTGGTTTTTGGTTTGGGTTTTTTTTTTTTTTTTTTTTTTGTAAAAAAGCAACCAAAAAAGAAAAAAAAAAAGAAAATAAGAAAGCCACCAAAAAGTCTGCATCTCTCTATGTTGTCAGTTTTAGGCTGTAAATTCCAACTATCAATAAAAGCTCAAAATTCACGTGCCAGTGCTGGGTTCCTCCATCCTGCAGGACACGCCGAGGGTCCCAAGGGGGCTCTGGGATAGTCGGGGCCAGGAGCAGGGCTGGACTCCTGCTGGAATCGTAGAATCCCTGAGGCCGGAAAAGCCCTCCCAGTGCCAGCTGTACCCGACCTGCACCTTGTCCCCAGCCCAGAGCCCTGAGTGCCACCTCCAGGAATTCCTTGGCCCCCTCCAGGGATGGGCACTGCAAAGCTCCCTGGGCAGCCCCTGCCAAGGCCTGACCCCTTTCCATGGGGAAATTCCTGCTGTGCCCACCCTGAGCTGCCCTGGCCCAGGCTGAGGCCGTTCCCTCTGCTCCTGTCGGGTTGGCATGGTGGCAGCCTGAGCAGGAGGGTGGCACAGAGCAGATCCAGCACAGCACAGCAGCTCCTGTGCAGGATCCCCCAGGAGCTCTGCCCGGGACACGAGCTGAGCCTGTCCTGTGCTGGCCCTTGGCTCTGCCCTGGTTCCCTGGTTCCCTTCTGCTCAGCAAGGCAAAAGGAGCGTCTCTCATATTAATTTTTTTATTAAATTCCGTTAGTTTCTCTTTATAGAATAACCTTTTCCTCTAGGCACAAATACAATACAAGGACTCTGCATGTTTGACACAATGTACAGAAACTTCAATAATCTACAACTGCTCAGGTAAGTTACAAAACCTCCGTGTTACACCTGCACAGCCAGGATGGTACAGAGGAACGGGGCACTGTACAAAGAGCTCTGCACTGAAATAAAACGCTGGACTTTAAAAACGAGACGGGTGGAGGGGCTGGCGGAGCTGGGGGGGTCAGTTTGGGGGTGCTGGGGGGTCCCGGGCGGCAGTGGGGCCACGGTGACCCCACGGTGCCCTCTGGGGTCCCCCCACGCAGAACCCCCAGTTCACACCAGTGCGGGGGCAGGGGGGGCTGCAGGAGCCAATTCGGTACCGAGAGCCACCCCCGGCACTGGGGCAGCAGCAGCGAGGGGCGGTGGGGCTGGGACAGGGACAGGGACAGGGGCAGTGGGGCTGGGATAGGGACAGGGACAGGGGCAGTGGGGCTGGGATAGGGACAGGGGCAGTGGGGCTGGGACAGGGACAGGGAGAGGAGCTGCCCCCAGGGCTGGGCACAGGCAGAGCACAAAGGGGGCACTCGGGGGTGGGAGGGTTGGAGGGGGAGAGCCCTGAGGGGCTGTGACCTGTGCAAAGGAGACCCTGCAGAGACCAGGTGGCACCTGCAGGGCCGCTGTCCCAGGCCTGTCCCAGCCCCGTGAGGTTTCAGCCACAGGGGACCCTCATCCCGGGGCTGGTCTGGTCCCCATCCCCCGGGAGGGGACATGGGGGCACCCAGGAGGCTGTAGCATCTGGCACCTCCCTCCCAGGGGAATATGCCCCCCGGGACAGCCAGCCTGGAGGCAGAGACTGTCCCCTCCAGGACAGGGACCCCTGGCCACAGCCCGAGGAGCCTTGACCGCTGGGAGCAGAGCGGCCACGGCCACGTTCCTCCCAGGGGCATGGAGCCAGCACCTGCAGCATCCCAACATTCCCAGCACTCCCGTTCCTGTGCACAGCTGGGAGTGGCTCCAGGGTGGGACACGGGATGGTCCCGGTGCTCTGCGCTGTCCCCTCTGCCATCTCCTGAGCTGTCCCCTGGGCCATCCCCGGAGCTGCAGGGCTCTCCCCCCTGCCATCCCCGGAGCTGCAGGGCTCTCCCCTCTGCCATCCCCGGAGCTGCAGGGCTCTGTCCCCTCTGCCATCCCCGGAGCTGCAGGGCTCTGTCCCCTCTGCCATCCCCGGAGCTGCAGGGCTCTGTCCCCTCGGCCATCCCCGGAGCTGCAGGTCCCGGCTCCAGCGGGACGGGAGCGGAGCCCAGGACTCGCTCCCAGCCGGGAGGGGCAGGGCAGGTTCCGGGGGCTCTGGCAGACATGCAGGGGGGCAGGACGAGGCGCAGGACAAGGAGGCAGCTCTGCCTCCCCCAGCAGTGTGGGGTGGGGGTGTGGGGCGCAGGACCCCTGCCCAGGGAGATGGCGCGGGGCTGGGGCACACGGAGGACACGGGGTCACGACACGGCTCAGACCGGGCGGGGGCGGGACGGGCCCCCCTGCCCGCTTCAACGCGAGGAATCCCTCCCGGTGCCACCCCACCCCGGGCACGCCCGTCCTGCCCAGCGGGTGGGAGGAAGGGCCGCTCCTCCTCTCCCTCAGTCCCGGGCTCGGCCTCGAGCCTGGCGCCGCCTCTGCTCCCGCTGCGGGAGCCGTGCCTGGAATCGCGGCTGCGCTGAGCCGCGCTCACGCGTCCGACAGGCAGCTCTGGATGCGGTCGATCCACTGCTGGGCCAGCTGCACGTCCTGGGCGCAGAAATTGTAAACTCGTTTCGTCGTCTTCAGCTGCGGGCAGAGAGAGGAGGGGCTGAGGGCTGCAGCCGGGGCCACAGTGACCCGAGCTGCCCAGCGCCGGCCCCTGCGGACACTCACGTCGAAGAAAGCTTTCTCGTCCACCGTCTTGGGGGCCCCCATGGTGGGGGTCCCCGGGGTGATGGACTCCACCTCGGCCAGGTCGATGACGCCCTTGCACTCCGTGTCCATCCGGCTGTCGTAGTACCGCAGCTGCGGAGAGCCGTGCTCAGGGCAGGGACGGGATAATGGGATAATGGGATGGGACAGAGGGACAGGACAGACCCCGGGGCCCGCCCGGTACCTGATGTTTGGTTTTATCCAGCACAAACCACCGAGACTTCCAGGGCTTCATGAAGGCGCCTTTCTTGTACAGAGACCCCTCGTAGGATCTGCGGGGCAGGAAGGGGCCGGAACAGCGGGGTCAGGGATGGAAACCCACCGGGACCCACGTCCTGCCCCTCCCCGGAGGGATCCCCCTCCCGCTGCCACCATTCCCAGCCCATTCCCAGCCCCGCCTGCCTGTTCTCGCTCTCGGACATCTGGAACTGGCTGTAGAGGGTGGAGGTGCTGCGGCGGCCGCCCGGCTTCCCGCTGGACGGGGTGGAGGTGCTGCTGGTGTCGCTGTCCAGGCTGAGGTTGAGCGTGGAGCCCACCCCGCCCTCCTGCAGGTACACGCCCAGCGAGCGCCGGTGGTGGGACAGCCCCGACGACATCAGCAGGGAGCTGGGAGTCTGCGGGACAGGGACAGCGTGAGGGGGCCTGGGGCTGAGCACCAGCAGCACAGCCAGCACCACAACCACTGCCAAAACCAGCACCACAACCACCGCCAGAACCAGCAGCACAACCAGCACCACAACCACTGCCAGAACCAGCAGCAGAACGAGCACCACAACCAGTCAGAACCAGCAGCAGCAGCAGCACCCAGAAGCAGCACCAGCCTGCCACACCCTGTCACACCCCTGTCACAGCCCCTGCCACACCCTGTCAGCTCCTGTCACCTACCCTGTTGCCCTCCTGCCGCCCCTCCGTGCGCTGGGACGCTTTCACCTTGTCCCACGTGTCCTTCCAGCGCTCCGGGACCTGCCCCAGCTCCATCTCCAGGTTGTGCAGCTCCTGGGGGGGATTCCAGCATCAGCCCCCGAGGGGACAAACCCCCCGGGGCCGCTGTGCCCGTGCCAGGCCCTGCCGGTGCCATCCCCGGGGCAGTGACACCCACCTCGAGCAGTTTGGAGATGGCGTCGGGCTCCACGCGGCCGCGGTTGTCGTAGCAGGGCCAGATGATGCGGCGCTTGCTCTGCGGCGCCGCCGTGTCCTGGCGATCCGGCTCCTCGGCCGGCTCCGGCTGCCCCTGCGCCAGCTCCCAGTCGTACGGGGGCCCCTCGGACAGCGTCTCCTCCGTGTAATAGTCCCACACCTTCAGGTTGGAGATGTTGCTGTACGGCCTCAGCACCTGGGGGAGGGACGGGGGCGGCTCAGGAAGGGCAGCGGGGCCAGGCTGGACATTCCCGGCCACACCAAGGGGACAGCGTGTCCACATGGAGCACTGGGAGAGTCCAGCCTGGAGAGGGAAGGATCCAGGGAGAGCTCAGAGCCCCTGGCAGGGCCCAGAGGGGCTCCAGGAGAGCTGCAGAGGGACTGGGGACAAGGGACAGGACCCAGGGAATGGCTCGCTGCCACTGCCAGAGGGCAGCCATGGATGGGATCCTGGCAATGAGGAATTGCTGGCTGGGCTGGAATTGCCAGAGCAGCTGGGGCTGCCCCTGCATCCCTGCAGTGCCCAAGGCCAGGCTGGACACTGGGGCTGGAGCAGCCTGGCACAGTGGAGGTGTCCCTGCCATGGCAGGGTGGCACTGCAGGGGCTCTGAGGTCCCTTCCCAGTGGACAAATCCCAGCTCCAGCTGCTCCTGCAGGGAGGATCCCAGCCCCCTCCAGGTGCCCCCAGCTCTCACCTCCCCGTCCTCAGGTGCGTACAGGTAGTTGAAGAAGATGGGAGCTTTCTTGTTGAGGCGGTCGATGTAATCCCAGATGGATTTGGAGACCTGCTGGCCCTTCCGCTCGCCCTTCTCCTCGTACAGGAGCCCTGGGGGGACAGAGGGGACACCGGGTGTGACAGGGGCAGGGGCAGGTGCCACCCCTGGCCCCGCACGCCGCGCTCACCCAGCTCGATGCGCTCGTAGTCCGAGTCCAGCAGGAATGTCCGGAAGCGGTTGGAAATGTAGTGGTAGCTGAGGAACTTCAGGTAGTACTGGCTGAACTCGAACTCCATGGGGAACTGCAGGTGGATCTGCGGGAGAGCCCCGGCTTGGCTGGGACCCGGGCACCCGGGCTGGGCCCTCCAGCCGGCCCCAGGGGCACTCCCAGGGCTCAGGGGCAGCTGCAGCCTCGGGGGCCCCACGGAGCACCTGGGGCTCCACTGGGTGCTCAGGGATCCTCATGGACACTTTGGGGTTCCAGCAGGCACTGAGGGGTCCCTCTGGGAGCTGGGGTTCCCACTGCACACTCAGGGCCCCCAGCCCAGGTGCCAGGGCTCACCTGGTGCACGCAGTCCAGGAACTGCAGGAAGATGGGGGCGAAGCCGCTGCTCTGCCCCGCCAGGGTCTGGGCGCCGCGGTGGCTGAAGCGGTGGCCGAAGGACAGCCACTCCTTCTCCACCAGCAGCCGGAAGCCCTCCAGCGTGCGGTAGTAGGGGTCGGACAGGAGCTGCACCAGGGACACCACCTGGGGGGACAGGGGGCTCAGGGGGCTGGGGGGCACGGCCGCGGGGCCGCCCCGGCCAGCCCGGCTCTCACCTGGGTGGTGATGTCCCAGCCGTCCTCCAGGCTGACCAGCACGGACGAGCCCGTGTCCAGCAGCTCCACCACCAGCACCGAGATCTGCAGGATCTTGTGGATCTGCCAGGGCACAGCCAGGAGTGAGGAGGGCACAGGGCTGGGTGAGGGGACGGTGTCCCCTTCTCCGGAGTGAGGCCACGCTTGGGGATCACAGGGGACACCACTCTGTGCTCGGACACAGCAGCAGCAGGGACAGGGGACCCTCACCCCCTCCAGAGCAGGACCCCTCCCACAGCTCCACACTGGACCATGTGGAGCTGCCCCTGGCTCAGACTGGCACTGCCCTGTCCCAGCCCCTCTGGAGCACCCCACAGCTCCTGCCCAGCACTCCTGGCTGGCAGCTCTGCCCAGCACCATGAGCTGAGCTCTGCATTGTGGCAGCCCTGCCCCTCACACCCCCGTGTGTGCCCAGGGTGTCCAGTGCTGCCCTGCACGGGCCACTGGAGCCCATCCCCGCTCAGGGCAGGGCCAGGCCTGGCTGGGGGTGACTGACCTGGGACAGCCACTCCGACTCCTCCAGGGAGCGCAGGTAGGCCACGCTGGGGTCGCTGGAGGGGCAGCCGGGCACGCAGGCCTTCATCAGCTTCTTGAAGCTGGCCTTGACCTGGCGCACGTCGAACACCTCGATGGGCACCACCTCCCAGTGCTGCAGCGGGTCCGGCTTCACGCCCTGCGGGGGCACAGCACGGCCTGGCTGCCAGGGCTGCCCGAGCCACTGCCACCCGCGGGACCAGGGAACTCCTCGGACTGGAAATGCCCTCAGGCCGTGGAGTCCAACCATTCCCAACACTGCCAGGGCCACCACTGGCCCTGTCCCCAGGTGCCACATCCACATCGGTTTGAAATCCCAGCAGGGATGGGCACTGCAAAGCTCCCTGGGCAGCCCCTGCCAAGGCCTGACCCCCTTTCCATGGGGAAATCGCTTTGAAATCCCAGCAGGGATGGCACTGCAAAGCTCCCTGGGCAGCCCCTGCCAAGGCCTCACCCCTTTCCAGGGGGAATTTCCTGCTGTGCCCACCCTGAGCTGCCCTGGCCCAGCCTGAGGCCGTTCCCTCTCTCCTGTCCCTGTTCCCTGGAGCACAGCCCGACCCCCCCGGCTGTCCCCTCCTGCCAGGGACTTGTGCAGAGCCACCAGGGCCCCTGAGCCTCCTCTGCTCCAGGCTCAGCCCCTGCCCAGCTCCCTCAGCCCTGCTGGGGCTCCATTCCCTCCCCAGCCCCGTCCCCCCCGCGCTGGGGCTGTGGCCGTGCCACCTTCAGCTGGGACTTGTCCCCGATGATGTAGAGCGAGGCGCGGTGCTGCCGCAGGAAGGAGGGCTCGGCGGGGGTCCCGTTGTGCTGCGTCCCCAGCAGGTCCTTCCCCGCCAGGCGGGAGCCGATCTCCACGTTCAGGGCGTAGCTGCTCATGCGGCCGCTGGCCCGGATGCTGCCCCACTTCCCTGCGGGATGGGGCCGGGTCAGGCCGGGGCTGGGCTCGGGGCTGCGCTGGCCCCACGCCCCCAGCCGGGGGCCGAGCTGTGCCCGCAGCCCGGCCCGGGGGCACATGCCAGGGAGGTGCTGGGCACCAGGTTTGCTTTGGCTCCTTCTCCCTCTGGGTGCTGCAGGAATTC